TAAGACTAATAAAATAATTAGGACCGACCATTACTTAAACCAATTTTCTTATATTAATCATGGCATCACGAAAACAGCTTTCTAGGTTTGCATATGAAAAAAACTGGGGATGCTGGGGATGGGAGCGGACACTAGGTGAGAAGTTGGGAAGGTAGGATACATAAGGTTATTTCATTTATATCTGTAAGCCGATAAACGATAAACCTTTCCTTGACGAAAGACGATTCCGAGCGCAGTTCAGTAATACATAATTTGAAGTGCTCTATTTTTTTTTTTGCGATTTTCATTTAAATTTGATTTCAAAACGCTTATAAAAAAAAGGAAAAAAATCGTCCGATCATTTTGAAAATTTTACCACGTTTACGTAAGTCCAACATAAATATTATTACCAAGTTTTAAGTCTCTACGTGTTTTTATAACCGAATTACAACAAAAAACCTTCCAAAAATTAAAATTCATTAAAAGCTCAAAAGTTTTGGGGATGATACAGTAAGAAATTAAATCAAAAAGGAAACAAAAAAGGTATCTTGTGATTTTTCGATTAAATCATTTTTTCTGATAGACAATGTTATCCGTGTTTTTAAAAAATAATGAAATCGTGAAATTGTACGTTTCCCTACGGCTTTTCCCATTTAAGTGCTTTTATTTAAAAATCAAAAATACCTCTTTCAAGTGCAATATAAACTTGGGCTTTCAGAAATATTGTTACACTTACAAATCGGAGCAAGTTTACTGGGAAAAAACGTATCCACAGACTAGCACAAATAAAAAGAAAAAAGAAATAAACAGCATTGTAAATCCAATAGCTCTTTTGTTACACTAGAAATCTAAAATTGGCACGGGCAACGCTGTGCACAAGATAGCTGGTAACTTATATACGTAAATCTAAGTTATTGTAATATTTTTAAAATTTTTCAGAATGGGTGATAATATATTTTACCTCCCTCCCTCATATTATCAATATAATATCTATAATATGCTTTCATATATGAACTGTATATTTTGTTGTTAATAATAATATTGGTTTTATAATTTTGCATGTAAATTTCAGATAAAAGGGCACTTAAAGAATTACCCATCATTAACCTTTCTTTCTGTGAATATAATTTATTATTATATTGGAAATATTTTTAATTAATAATTAAATTTATTAATTTAATAATTTCTTGTACTTGGTTTGTATTAAATTTATTACTATGTATAAGTTTATTTTTTAAAAAATTGACTGTTTCATGTTTAGGAATGAATTTATATACAATTTTGACATCAAGAAAAATCATTTTATAACCTGGCTCAATATTAATTTTATCAATAAAATCATACATGTTTTTTTATAGAAGTATCAATATAAGTTCATATTTAATTTTTCTTTTATGAGAGAGTAAATATTTAGCAAGATTATAAGCTGGAGCAGTTTAAAATTTAATTATCTTGTTTATGTAATTTTATTAATGGATATAAATGTGGAGCCTTTATTTTGTAATCAGATTTTAATAACATTTTCTTTTTGACTTTAAGTATGATTTCTTTTGAATTTGTTATCAGTTTATTAATTGTTCAGGGTGAATTATAGTTGGGTAATACGTTAAGTTTTTAATATTATTATTTATAAAATCTAAATTTTTTTTTATGAATTTCATTAGTGTAAAAGATAACAATAGCATTAGATTTATCTATCGGAACTATTTCTGAATTATTATTTTTAATTTATTCACTATGTTGTTAATAATTGTATTTTGTCGTTTACCTATACTATTTTATTTTAATATTTAATCAAGTTTATTTTTGTAGTTTTTTGGGTACTGTTTATTAAGTTATATCTTGTTTGATTTTGATTTTGAAATTGTTTATAATTTATAACGAATTCAAATTGTATTAAATGTTTAATTAATTGAAAGTTTAATATTTGATATCTATTAAATTTATTATCTTTATTTAATAAGTTGTTTACAGCTTTATTAAAAATTATGGAAGTTAAATTAGTAAATCGTTATTGAAAATAATGTTGGTTATTAAGTTTTAATTTTTGTGTATTTTGTGCTACTAAAATATTAACTTTATCATTTACCCTTCGCCATTTCTCATTTTTCTTCTGTACATTTTGTTAAATGTTTTTTTTTGCAGCCTGAAATTAATAAATGGTTTAAATTTCGAGATAAGATTGTTTCTAAATTATTAATCTTTCCTACTATTACGTGTTTTTTGCTGAATAACATTTTATTTTAGAGTTCAACTATATTGTCTGCTCCTTTTTTGACTTTGATTGCAAATTCAGATGTACATTTGATATGTATATATTGATGTATTTTAGAACGGTTTTCAATTTCTTAAAAGTTATATTGAAGTAGATATTTATATTAGTATTCATTAATTTCAAATTAAATATTCAATCCTGTTCATTAACTGAGTTGGAAAATTAGTTTGGCCTACCATAATAAATAATAAAATAATAAAGTAAAAATAAAGTTATTAAAATGGTTAATACTCGTAAATAAATACATAAATAAAAAAATTAATTAATTAATTAACACGTCGCTTGGAGTATTATGATAAGTGTATTATACAACCAGTTTTGAATTAAAAATTCATTATCATGTATAATATCAGTCAAAATGCAAAACTCGACTGAGTATAAAAATTAAATAAAGGAATACACAAAAACAAAATTACACATATATTGGTCGTTTTACATAGAAATAATTTATTTCAATAGATGAGATTATTTAAAATGGGTTATTTATAATACTGATATAATACCAGTGATTATAAAAGGAATAATTTGTATAATAATAATATTTTAATTTATAAATCTAAATTTAATATTTTGTAATCGGAAAATAAAAATACTTACCTAATTAACATATTTTGTAATATAAATATTATAATTTTAAATTTTATTTAGATAAATAGACATGTTTAAGTCTGTAACGTCAACAATCTTATGTAAACTAATTATAGAGTATATAGAATGGGACACAAGGTATTGTAATTGGGTATGTGCAATTTAGCGATAGAATAAGCTTAGTCAAATTAGATAACAAACCAATACATACTGTAATAATTCAAGTTTATATGCTCATTGTCCAGTTCAGAAAAAGAAGTTGATGAAGTGGAAAGAACATATGAAAAACTAAATGATTTAATAAAGACCGTTAAAGGAGAAGAAATCTTATAATCCTAGGAGACTTTAATGCCATTGTGGGGGAAGGAAAAGAAAATAATATTGTCGGCAAAATGGACTTGGAATTAGAAGTTCAAGAGGAGAAATATTTTTAGAGTTCTGTGTACGAAATAATCTAATAATAACGAACACACATTTCCAACATCATAAAAGAAGACGATATACGTGGCAAGCTCCCGACGATATAAACAGCACAAATAGATTATATATTTGTAAGAGGAAGGTACAAAAATCAAGTTAAATACAAAAAAAGTTATCTAGAAGCCGATATTAATAGCAATCATAACTTGGTTATGACACATTGTGAACTTAAGTTTAAGAAACTACAGAAGAAAAATGACGTCCAAGGATAATGGAAACGGCTGTAGCCACTGTTATATAGGTAATTTAATGTATATCTGTAAGCAATGATACACCATTGCTGACGAAAAAACAATTCTGAGCGCAGTTTAGTTGATAGTGATGCTTTTTCAACAATATATAAGTCATATTATAGTAAAATTCCAATTATTTCAATTCCAAAGTTTAAATGAATCTCGTTTTTCCCATTTATTTCGTTTTTCATATTTTATGAGAAAACTTCTGAAAAAAAATCGAAAAACGACCTATTTAAAGTATCACTCCAGTGAAATTACCTTTTAGAAAAATTAATATCATTGAAAATCGAAGCAAAATAACTCTTAGAAAAGTTGTCCACAGAAACAAAAAATAAATAAAAATAAACATCTTTACAAAACCAAAAGCTTTTTCGCTCTACTCAGAATCTAAAAGAAACACTTAAATGCTTAAATTACTTGTAAATCAAAAACAAAAGAGAAGTTATACTATCGGTGGGTAATATCTTACTAAATTAATATAAACGCAAACGAAACGCAAATATGCAACCACTGAAGTATATTTTTGTGGTCAAAATCTGAAACAATTGATTTAATATTTCAAAACATAATTAGTGACGTAACCAGATAGGTTATGGATGTTGTAATTCCTCTCATGGCTTTATTTGTTATTGTTATAGATAAGGTGAATATTAATTTTTTTTTATCCTACTATCGGTAGACCACTGCAGATGTATTTATTCTATACAGTTCCCCCGGCCGTCTCTATTCAGCGTCTCGGCCCATGACAAAATCGTGATTTGTTTTAAACCTTTGACAATATTATACTATTAAAAAAAAATAGACACCATCCATCAGTTGCTTCTATAGATTGTTAAGTAGATGCACATCACAAAGCACCGCAGATGGCGTCGTTCAATACAAACCCAAGACTACCTGTTCTACATCCGGTGTACCCAACGTTATAATAATATTATATAACATGGTGTCGATTATTGTGAATTTAATAATCATTATAAAAACTTAAACTACAAATCAGTAGTGAGTACGATTACGCGAGAAAAAATTAATCACGTAGTCACTCGACGGCAACCATTGCAATTGTGGAGCGCCGCGAAGTATATTATAGTATTATTGTATCGTGTGCAGGAAAGCGCGCACGCGTGTATGCGTAGCAGCACGCGGAGGAATCCGATTTTTGGCGCGCTTCTCATTGCGGTGGTCTCGTCACTGGGAGCGGAGTGTAGGGGGTTCCGTCATGACGGCGGTGTGTCGGATACAACAGCTGTTCTCGATGAGCGGGAAACGGTTCGAACGGCGATTACCGCCGAGCGGCCGGCTCCCCATTGGGCCGCGTCCAGCAACTGCACACGGTAAGAGCCGGCGGATTGGTCGTGCCCCGCCACAGCCGGCATACGCACACGAGCCACTTCGTTTCCTCTCGTCGCGGACCCACCCCACCCCGCCGCCGCCACAGTCGGTCGGCGTAAACAAAGGCTCTGCCGCCGCTGTTTAACCAAATCATATCTATCAGTCAAAACCAGGGACCAATGCAATTTTTATTTTAATATACAGCAGCCGTTTTTGGCTGTTCGTCGCGTGTTCATCTACTTGATGTTGTTTTACAATATAATTTAGCATTTGCAGTATGGTTTGCCCGATGCCATAACGTAACGCATTATCCGTCGCCGCCGCCACATAATCATCGTACGCGCACGGTGCGTGTGTGTGTATGTTATTATCATCATCGCCTCCGTCATCGTCATCGTGTCGTCTTATTTTGGCTATTCTTGCCATTCGCTGAGCTTTTATTCAATATTCGTTACCGACATGGGAACATCCAGCCAGATCGACGACTTTTTGGTCGTCCATTGACCGGCATTTCGTCGTCGTTTTCCCCGAGTAAGTTAGCATAATACATACAGATATCACACATTGCGCGCCAACCGGGCAACGGATACCGCGCGCTTCGCCCCCCCCCGCATACCGCCGTACTTTTACTACCGGTTTTTCAAAATTTGCACGTAGACGTTATACGGTATCTCGTATATGATTTGTACGTGCGTTCAGTTTGAGATTTGATTTCGTTTCTCAACGAAAGTTCTACCGCCCTCCTTTCCGTCCGTCGTGTGCGCCAGGCGGTTCGCGGCGATTGTGTTGGTACGGTCGCGCGCGCGCTAGCCAAAACATAACCTCTATGTCCGTGTATCGTCGTCGCCGCTGCCCGCCACCACTGTTACCGCGTCTGGGTCTCCATTCATCCCCTTTGTTTCCGGGACGACTTTAAAAATCATACCACCACTTGTCTCCCGCGACGTCTTGTCACGATCTACCCGGTCTGTCGTGCAATGTGCCCGGCGTTCATCATCACCACGTTTGCTGACTGTAACTCGATAAAGTACCCCTGACCGACGATTATCGTCGGTGGGCACTTGTGTTTCGGCCGACCAAACCCTCATCGTAACTGGACGGTAATGCTTTTGTTTGAACACTCTTATCCTAGAATAATAATATGTCTCCATTTGTCAAACTTGAATTGAACATTGTCCGAGCATTTGATTTTTGTCCATCTGGTGGCTGGTTTACTTTTGAGAACTTTTGGTCTAAGTTGTTGATAGAATTGATTGTTACCACCACCTAAGACTGATTTTAAAGTTAACTGCCCTAGGTACCTACTTTGAAAAAATAGTGTAATGTGTACTTATTCTATGTTTAAAATAATACAATAAATTTGTTATTTTATTCATTTTTATTTTTTTTAATAAGTCCAGATTTTATCACTATTTTGTTAAGCTTGATAATCCTATCCAACCTGAAGTTTCCCTAAAAGACAAGGTAATACATTTATAAGCACAAGCCTGAAATATTTATTTATTTTGGTTTGTAGTTTTTAAATAGGTATACTTAGATTAATACCTACCTATGTCGGTGAATACTTACATTTTATAGATTTATTTTAAGTGATTATAAAAATTGTTGGCTTTTACATTTCTAGCTAAACAGTTTAATAATATTTAATTTAGCTTACATTATTCTGAATTCAAATAAATGCCTACTTCTCAACCTTTATCTCACAAAAGTGAGGTCTGCTATTCTTATTTTCACTGTTTATATTTCTTTATTCATCAATATTCCTTCATCTTACTAAATATTCTACATATCGTTATATATTAGCTAGGGCGCCTCTACTTACTATATAAAACAATATTTATGTACCAATTACCTTCAAATGAATATCTTGGGGGGTTGGGTTATATCTATGTCTGAACAAATATATTATTTAATTATTATAAATACTAAAAAAGATTCCTATGCATATCTATCTATTTTTAAAATTACAATGTATATGCTTTAGAACAGTTTATAAACCCTGTTTATCCCTTGACTTTCCATAGAGTAAAAAGTGTAGTCAATTTTTTTTTTCGTCTCTTGATTGAACTATCTTGGGTTTTATAAAATTCAAAAAATGTTTAGAANTAATTGTTTTCTTTTTAAAGTTTTAGAGTTTCTTACTTACCTTTTATCTTATTTATAATATTCCTATATAAAGTTGATATTTTGATTAGATGTAGATTGATAACTTAAACAACAAAATGATTTTAAATAAAAAAAATTTGCCCATCCCTTGACTTTCCATAGAGTAAAAAGTGTAGTCAATTTTTTTTTTCGTCTCTTGATTGAACTATCTTGGGTTTTATAAAATTCAAAAAATGTTTAGAATCTTTTAGTTTTGACCTTTAAATGACAAAATAAGTATTTGGTTTCATAGTTGCCGTTAGTATTTTATTTATTATTATTATTTTTATTTTTTAATGTTTTTTGGGGTTCAATTTTTAAATTCAAATGGGAACCTACTCCTATTCAAAATTCCATACATAGAGTGTTAGTTTGAATACATTTTTGATGTCTATTAACCCATTGATGAGATGTTTGAACATTGATCCATTACTCTACCCTTGTAATGTTTTTAAGACTTTAAAATTTAAACTATGTATTGACAAATGTTTAATATACCTATGTATGGTTTAATTATGAATTCTTTTCAATAACCATAGATTATTTAAATCAAAAAAGGCACAAAATACAAACTTGTTTATATATTATAAAATATGTAGAAATAAATTATTAGAACTTATTAGAACAACCAAAGTACAATATTATAAAGATAAATTTATTTAGAGACGTTTATAAATTGAAGGTTAGACCAAGTTAAGGTAGCTTGTGAATATTGTTTTAATGAATCATTTCTAATTTTTTTTGAACAGAAAGATGTGTTAAATGTAGGTAATGAAAATTTAAAGGATGCAACAGCATTTTACTTTGATAGATTAACGGTTAAAATTTTAAAAACCATCAGAAATTATATTATGTCACCTTAAGTATTTATTTTATATTTACTTATGCATAAAATAAGATTCTTTCCTAAAGAAATATAAAATAGCTATAGTTTACTCATTGTATAAATTAAGGAGGAAAAAAAATGTATCTAACATAGGCCAATATTTCTGTCAATATCTATGATGTTAAATCAAAATGTATAACATTAGAGCGTTATAAACTATTATCAAATAATCAATCTTGTTTTTGACCTGATAAAGGTATTATAAAAACTTTATTCAATGACCAAGTTCATATATTAAAAATTAGATAATAGTGAAAAAGTTAAAATATTATTATTTGCAATATTTTTGGATTTAACAAAGTATATAATTAATTACATATTTAGGTTTAATTATAGACTGGAATTTGAGATAGAATTTACATATTTAGAATACTTACAATGCGCTTGGGAGTTTTATAATCTAAACAAAATGTTACCTGCTGAAGTCATGCATACTGTACGCTCTATACAAGTCTATCATGCAATATGGTCTAGTTGTCTGGGAAAGGTGTGTGGATATTGTAATGATATTCTTTAATAGTGAAACAAAATTTAGCTGTCAGAATATGTTTGAACAAAAAGAAACATAGAGATCATCATATTTAAATTGCAAATCGCTAAAAGTATTGCTTGTTAACGCTTAATAAGTTCTTTGTTATTTTTGATATCTCAAAAAAAAAAAAATAACGAAACATGAAAATAAACATGATTTTAGAGCATATGGTGTTGTATAAAATATACAAATAAACAATTCTGTACAGAAGTTGGTTGATTATTTGGGTTAGTGAATTTAAACTGTACCTAAAGATTAGTAATATGTATAGTGCTAATCTAAAGTATAATTATACGCACAATAAAATAATTATTAAATAAAAGATAATATTGTATATTTGTACATTTTTATATTTAAAAGACAAAAGCTGTATTCTCATATATAAAGCTTAAACATCTTTTGTTTTTGTAACTTATTTGCCCCACCACAAGAAACACTTTTTGGCGGGGCAATTAATCAAATTGTATTTTATATTTTGTATTGTGTATGTTATAGTTTATGAAGTCCCTAAGATGGCCATGTGTGATAATTCCACCTAGGTAGTACTCAAAAGCTGAAGAGTGTGTCTTATTAATGGATAACATAACAAAATTATATTATTTTTTTAAATTGGGATAGTTTGAATTGAGAGTTTAAACACAGATAACAAAATTGGTTGTATCCTAGTCATTGGGCACTCGGGTAGATAATTGGGAACTGGCCGCCCACTACTCAATTTCATTGTATTATCACTGTAGGCAGGTTCAAGTACAATAGTCTTGTCAATAATACTTAAAATTAATTATTTTAAAATCAACACAAAATTTGTATATGTCCGTTAATTTATTTAACTTGATATTAAATGTTTTTTTTTCAAAAAACTCGTCTTTTATCTAGACCTAATTGGTGTTCTTTTATTAATTTATCATTTGAAAATAAATACAATGTATTACTGTTTACTTCTTTGGTCTAAACTTTAAACGGTTATAACTCATAAACAGTAAATCTGATATAGATGTTAATTATGCATATCAAAATTTCTAGGAAAATATTCACTATTCGAATCTGTATTTAAAAACAAAAGTATATATTTATTTAAGATATATGGAGTAGGGATACAAAATTAAAAACCATTTAAAATAAAGCTTAAACGATTCCACAATGATTAAAAAAAAAAAAACAATCTAATTATCTTAGAATATTACTGATTCATAATTGTCCTGTATTTTAGAAAAGAACAAATGTGTGATGCCCTCAAAATTATTATTGTTTTTATTTTTTAGATTTTGAGTGGAGCATTCTGGGGTGGCATTTTAAGGAAGTCATTTTTTGATTTTCCTTGAAGTTTTCCAATAAATGGGAATAGTGGGAGAATAGGTACAATATTAAACAACTATTATTATAGAAAATATATAATGAATATTATGTAATTATTTTAAAATAATATGACATACATTGTTGACAAAGTAATACTATCAACTGAACTCCACTCAGCATTATTTTTTCGTTAGTAATGGTTTATTGTTGCCTACAGATATACATTAAATTACTTACAACAGTGCCTATACACATCCCCATTAATGTAGTACAGCTTTTTGTTATCTGTTTTATAAACTTTAATTTCAACCTAAGTACCAGAATTTAAATTTCAAGTATTTAATGTAATAATTTTGCTATGTATGTTGTCTATTAATCGGACAGATATTAAATGCTGGGTGTATTATTTTTCTAGCTTTAAAATGGCATAGAACTAATTAGACTAGCATACCTAATAATAACAATTTTTTAATTTGAGTTTACTAAATAAATATACAATTTACAGTCAATATAATATATTCAAATAACAATAGTAAGAGACATATCTACCTAATTTAAATTTAATTCTTATATAAAATATTAATTTCAAATAACTACCGTAAGAAATAATTATTATGAATTCTACAAATTATTTTTTTTATTTATTTATGAGTTTTAATCATTTTATAATTTTGTTTTTACTTATTTATTTTTATTTCATCAAGACATGTTTTTTGATAATTTTTTCTATTAATTTTAACCGTTAATAATTTATTAAAAAATAAAAAATTTTTAAAATGAACAAGAAATAATAAATATTAGTGATGATTGATTACTGAAGTTTAAGTTAAATTTTTAATGAAAAAAGTATCAAATAATTAAAGTAATTTTGTACCTATTTATTGCAATGAAACATATTAACCTCCAAATCATAATATATTAATGATTTACCTAATTTATATTTTAATGGAAAATAATAAACAATTTAAATATTCAGTGAATGTACCTAATATCTATATAATGCTATTAAAATAGTTATTTTTATATTTCTTTTAAATATAAGTGAATATACATATGTTCTGAATATATATAAACATATCTAATAGATATTGTTTTATACATCTCGATGTTGGTTGAAAATATAATATTTTGACAATACAAACACAATTATGGTTTTTATTTTGGTATAATATGAAAATGATTGAATTAACAAAACAAAATAATTTAATATTTAATTTAATTCACTTTAGTTTTAATTATTAAATTATTTGTTTGTTTTTAGATTTATTAGCTGTGGAAATATATTTTAAAATATGTCAAAAGCATGCAGAATGTTGAATCTGGACGAAGATGGATCTTCAACTCCGAATACAGCAATAATAAAATTAGGTTAGTAAAACTTAATTCTTATCTAGAATTTAAATATTTATATTTAAATAATAAGTATTTTGGTACTAAGTATGCAAAATGGATTTCAAACAAAAATATCTAAAAGTATTATTTTATTTTACACACAAGATCTTCCTTATTTTATGTGACTGTTTTCACTACCTAATATTAAATTTTCAAACATTTTGCTAAGCCAGTAACTTGTATTCATATAATATGAAAAATAGTTTATGAAATTTAATGATTTTTTAAAATTTTTATCAAAATTTTGTGTTAAACACTTTAAAAAAAAATTGTGTTCATTGGTTTTTCAATATTCTTATAGTATTATAAGAACAACTTAATATGGTGAATTATGTACTTAATTTTCGAGCATTATTGAGTTTTCAAAATTATTTGATCACATAAAACCAAACGAAATCTAATATAAAATTTAAAATTGCTATGTACAATTTAAAAACAGTAAGAAAAAGTAAATGTACCTCATAGAATTTTGTATTGTTCTAAATATACAGCTCAAAATAAAAGACACAGAAACTTTTTTTTAAATATAATTTTGAATAGTTCATGTTTCAAAAAACCTATGTGATTCTCTCCAAAAATTACTGTTTTGTATACATTTCATAACAGTTACTTTTTCTTTAAAATCAAAATTAAGCTAGTTTTAATTAGTAAGCATTATTTTTGCATCTTGCCCAGTAGTTGGACTGAGACAGTAAATGCGGGTGTAATATTATGAAGTCAATGGATTTCATATTATTATTTTAATATCTTTTGCCAATCAATATAATTTTCAATTTTAATTTAGCAACAAAATGTTTAAATAGGGTTTATTCAAAATCGTATTATGTTTGAAATGATTTATTGTTGCATTCAGGATTTAAGGTGCATTTACATGGCGACTGTACTACCACAACATTCTACAGCAGTTACTGTCACAGGAGGAGTACTGTTTACACGTGAATGCAAATTAATATGCAGTTGTGGCAGCCATAAGCTATTATCACCTATTATTTTCATTTATTATTATTATTATTATTATAATATATTTAAATTGAAATATTATAGGTGTACAATTTATTAAAGATAGCAGATATAATAGATTTCTTAGTTATAAGAGTTATGATTAGGGCTGAGATTTATATGTAATTACATATTTTTATTAACACATGATAAATTAATCAGGACAAATGAGATTTTGTGATTTTAGAACATGTGAAATAAGACAAATTTCATTTTACATTTTTCATCTTAAATACATATTTTTACACGAGTTGTAAAATTTCCTCTTTTCATAACCTATTTTGTCAATTTACATCATTAAAATTGGTGGTTTAATAGTATTATATTTTGATAATACTACTCGTAAAAGTTATAAGTGTTTATAGGGTTAACATTGATTGTTATTTAGGGCTGGGATCTATAAAATACTAAGATCTCATTAAGTAAAAACTTAAAAATTATTGATTCATCAATTTCAAAATTAATGAATTGGAAGGCCCAATAGCTGATTTATTAAAATATAAAATGAACATAGTTTCAGCTAAAAAAATTCGGGACTGAAGTCTATTAAATTTATAGGAAACATTCTTTGTGGTATATTGAATGAAAATATGATGGAGCTCGATTTTTCACTTAGTGAAATAACAGTCATGAAGTATGCACTGATAACATCCTGTGATGTGGAACGTTAGTTTAATCAATATAAGTTAGTGTTAAGACCTAATAGTCATAGCTTTAATTTTGAAAACTTAACACTATATGGTTTGTCATTGTTTTACTTTGGATTGGTATTTTTTAATATTTTTTTTATTACACACTTTATTTTTTACTACCTATTTTGGTCAACATTTTCATACACATTTCCATATTTTTAATTTTTTTAATTTTCACTACATATTTTGGTCATTTTAATTACATATATAAATGTTCATATTATTGTTTTTTTTTATTATATATAAATCCCAGCTCTAGTTATGATCCATTGATTTTTATGCTCTTATTAGTTTTTGGTTGTAAGTATTTCTAAAGCTTCTGAATAGCCCATAATCCTTTTATTCTTTAAGTGCTGGATATCGGCAATAGTTGTTCTTTAGTAATATCCCTCTCTGAATGAATCTTAAATTTGGGAATCGCTTTGTTTCACAATCATGGATGAAATTGATATTGTTAAGAAATTTGATTATAACAAACATGGTTAACAAAAACGATAAAGGTAATTAAATGTGTAAATGTGGCTTAACACGTATCACTTTTAGCGCTGAGTGATAACAAATATTTTGCATGTGACAATAGTTGTTGCACAATGTGTGAATAGTGATTACACGTTAACAGTCCATGGTAGCTACCAGAGTTACTACTGTCATGTACTCTCGCTAGTACTGCTAAGTATAGCTATTACTTAGTACTGCTAAGTATAGCTATTACTTAATAGTGGTGACTGTTACTGTGTAAATGTGGCTTTAATCTAAATTATCTCGTGCTATCTTTTCAATTCATATTCAAAACAGTGGCCTACCTATGAACAATATGAGTATTGACTTTTTCCTAGCTCTTTATTTTAATGAGATATAAGGCCGCCTGTCTATTTTAATACATGTATTTCTTTGACTTGTTTTTATTCATTTTTTTATAATTTATATATTAATTTAAAATACTTGAAATGAAAAGCATTTTAGCACATTTCAAGCACAAAATCTTAGATATTTTCCTACAACCTGATAACAACATTCTATTTAAATAATAAATATTTAACATAGACAAGTTTAATTTATTTATGAATTTATCCATAGTTTATCTTTTTGTTCATTATTATTTTACAAATATAGCCACCACATTCAAATGTTTTGACTGCCTTATTTATTATTTTATAATAGGTAACTTGTATTGTTCTCACCAATACAATTTTTATAAACATATTTTTCTGTTCATTATCAGATATATCAGTTGTGTATCTATTTTGTAGTGTGACTCGTATCAATAGCAGAAAGTTATTCAATATTCTATAGTTCGTCTTTTTTCTTCTTTTACTTTTTATAATCATTAAATTTAAAATGTTGTGTTTGGTTTTCGGTTGTGTGTGTTATAGCAACAAAGAAGAAAATCAGAACATCCTTTTTATAGGTTTTCAAAACGCGAACAACTCCTAAAAGATATAAAGTATGGGTTAATGTTTGTAAATGTAAACGTTTTATGCTAGGAAAAAAATAATAGAATTTATTCATCCCATTTTAAAAGTGATGATTCCAATGAGTTTGGTGTATTACACGAGCAACTTATTCCAGACACAAAAGTAGTGATCAAATTAAAATCTAATGTTTATCATACTATTTAAAAAACAAAATGTGGGAACACTTCTCTTACCTTACCATCTATAAGCAGATGTGAAAAACTTAATAGAAAAAAAATAAATCTAATTTACACTAGCTTTATTAAAATCTCTAGGTTAAGAATTCTAGGCAAATTAATAGCCCAGAAATTAACCTTTAAATAAAAGCTACCTCGTTATATAAACATCTAGAAGATAATGATTCAAGACCAAGTTCTATAGTAATAATGTCTAAACCCACATTAGTCTTTCCTAGTTTAAAAGCTGTTATCTCAAAAAACAACATATTTTATCAAGTTTATCAATTAAACTAATTTATTTAGAATTCTGAACAACTGATGAGAATTTTAAGATTGACCTAACGAGGGAATGGTATATAAACCTTTAAACATATAATATTTTTAAAATCAAAACAATTATGTTTAATAAATCCTAAACATGTAATGCTTTACTATATATTATATCGATTTGGGTATTAAATGATGAGTCTGAAAACAATAGTACACCCAAATCACAAATAGAAGTAGTATAATTTAAGGAAAAAACATTTATCATAAGGAAAGATAGATTTATTCTTTTGACTAGAGAGAGAAATACATTAACATTTCCCGGCATTTATTGAAAGACTATTTTTGAAACACCATTCCGAAAATTTGTCAAGGTCATGTTGAATTCAAACTAAACATAAGGATATAGAATAATTGTGTTCAAATCCATCACCAACATTTGGCTCAAAACTTCATGGTTTTAAAAACATTTTAAAACACAATGTTTGATCCATGATAATGAATGTATATTGAAACAATACGCAATCCAATATTTTGCAACAAATTGCAATACCTACTTATTATTATATAACAAAATAAAACGAATTTAGAAAAACCCATAAACTGCATTGCATTTGTACTATTATTGTTTGTATTGGTACATGAACAAACAAAAATATGAGTCTATTTTGGATAAATTAACTTTTTCTGCTTTTAATATTCATTATTATAATAGGATGTTGGTATTAGGTTATAATAAAGTATCTAAGCTTTTTGTAATATGAAAATAGCTTTTCATTTTGAGTATTTTAAGTTAATGTTTAAATAAATGACTATAGATGTGTCGAGGAAATGCGTGTATTGAAATAGGCAGGCATCCAATCAATGTTTTAACCTGTGATGTCACGCGTCATTTTAAAACGGAGTAATGCAATAAAGAACTATTTTTACCAAGATTCATTCAATATTTTATAATAATAAAAAATTTTATTTTTTCTTGAATAGTCCTTAAACATTTTTATGTGAATTTTTGCTATTTTCTTAATCTGGAATAAAAACAATTTTAATTGAATGCATTTTTTAAGTTTTTACTTGACCTTAAAGTGTTAAATACAATAAAAAATTTAGAATTTAAATTCACTAAAATACAAATTTGAAAGAAAAAGAAATTCTAATCGGTTTTATTAGTTAACTATCAAATTAAAAAAAAAAAATTATTTCATTTTTTTTTTAGTTAACTTTACTAGTGGTGTTTTTATGCTGCATAAAATGTAATAAAAAGTTTATGAATTACATATGTTAATATTATCAATTCTAGTTTTTTATATTTCTACTGAATACTGTAATGCACATTTTACATTTTTATTTTCATCTTTATCCTTCCTACTCTTCAAAAATATTTGTTTTATGTTTACCCCCTTTCATTTTTACTTATAAGATCTTTAGTCTTAGATTTATGAAACTAAATTTTTATTTTTTAACTGGTTTCTTGTACAAACTAGGTTACCTACTTAAATTTAATCTTCTGTGACAAATTAATTTATCGTTTACTGAATTAAATATTCACAATCAGTTTTAGTTTTATAATATTTATTTATCTCTACCAAATTCAATTTATTGTTAATCTGAAATAAAAACTAAAATAAGATACAAAAATAAACTTTTTAACTTAAAATATATATACATTTATCACTTTTTTGTGTATAACAATAACCAGCATATTATTTTCGATACCTATTTTAGTTTGTCTGAAATATTATACTTACCATTGATCATTATTAAATGATTATTTTTAAAGAATTATTGTTTTCTAAATAATTTACGTACAAAAATGTATGTTTTATACTTGTATTGTTTTTGTTATAGATTCAAACATGACAACTTTCTTGACACCATCTCCATATCATTTGCTTGATCATGAATATGGCATGACACCACAAAATCAAATCATTCCAAATCCTTTAACATCACCTTTAACAAAATCTCAAGTAAGTAATTCTGTATGAAATTAAAAAAAAAATTTAGGGATCTGAAATTATTGGATAATTATATTATTTAATTATTAGTTAATTTAAATCAAAAAAGAAAATGTATAATGTGTTAAAGTATGTAATACTATGTATAGAATCAAAAAGCTTTGTGTTTATTATTAAAAAAAATTAACATAATATAAATAAATAACAATATAGTTTTAATTAAATTTTAAATTTTTATTATATATTATCATTGAGCTCTTCCATTTCTTTAATATGTATGCTTCCCAAATCCAATTTATACAATTTTTTTTTTTCATAGCTAAATTTGAATTCATGTACTCATAAGCAAATGTTCATTTTCCAGCTTTATCATTTCCAAGTCTCTTCCGTAATCTTAATTGTACAAGTGAAAAAGTTGAAAATATTGTTTCAACCCTAACTATACTTGCAATTGCACTTAGTACTTGATTACACAATGTTAACCACTGATCTTTCAAATTTTCTCAATCAATCAATGTGTTATTAATGGTGTTAAAACTCATAGAATGCCATGAAATTGTTGGTGACGTGGATTGTAATGACTATATACAACTGATTTAAATGGTGCTTAAATAGCACCAACAATGTCATATTAATAGGGCTCGGATTTTAAAGCATAATAAAAAGCAAAAAAGTAGTATATTTATTTTCAAAAAAAGAAAAAAAAAGCATGACCAAAAATTAATTTAAATTTAAAAAAGAATTACTATGTATTTTGTAATATTTGCAGTAGTGGAACTGACTATTGTCTGACAGAATGTTTTTATACATAGAAAACGAATGCTCTACATCCACTGAAGTGATCGGTGCATACTTCATACAAGAGGTTTCGTCTAAATCAAACCCATGATAATTTTTGCAATATTTAATTAAAAATTCGTGAAAATGATTATTATTTAGTTTATTCATTGGAATATTTTCAGCTACCAATGTTGAACACAAATCTGCATTATAATCTGACTGATTACTAAAATGTTGTATAAATGGTTGAAGTTATCCAGACTTTTTATTTTTGTATCTTAACTGCTTGCACATGTTTTCCTCTTCGTACATGCTGTTGTACATTATATTTTTTTTCACACAATACTTATTACACTTATTTAAGTTTGCAATATAAAATTGATCCATCCATCCATCCATTCTCAATTATTGAAAAAAAAATTAACGCTCGATAATGTTAACTGGTCTGTAGTATTTGAGATGCTTATAAAAGAAGAAATAGAATACACTGAAAGGAGACTATTCTTTAAGCTATACCAGAAGGAAACAGCTGTTAAAAGATTATAGCTGTATAAGATTTGGTAAATTTGAAATGAAAGCATGCATAAGAAAAGGAGTAAGGCAGGGTTGTACTCTCTCACCTAGCATATTTAATGCATTTATCCAAGAGGCAATCGTCATAATTAAATAGAAAACATTTGGGTATAAAGCAGATAATATAGCATTAATAGATGAAAATAAAGAAGGATTGCAAAGGATGTTGAGATGTATGAAATAAACACTACCTACTCAATGAACTAAATATGAAAAAGACTAAAGTTCTTGTATGTAGCAAAAACAATAATATTAGGTCAAGAATACATCTATAAAATAACCAAGAAATAGAGAAAGTAGAAGAGTTTTTATATTTGGGAAGTATAACAAGATGGTAAAAGTAAAAATGAAATAATTAAATGAATATACCAAACTAAGATAGTATTTAATAAAAAGATAGAACTGTTTACTTAAAGAAATATAAGTATACATACCACAAACATTTTTTTGAAGACTTATGTAATGAGTATGTTTCTATATGGCAGCGAAATGTGGACGATTGCCAAAGGAAAGAGAAGAATAGAAGCTTTTGAGATGTGATGTAATAGAAGAATGCTTAAAATAGTCTGACGGATTTGGTAACTAACAAAGAAGTATTAGAAATAATATCTGAGAGAAGACTATGGCAGTGGTTTAAACATCAGTGTGTGCTGCAAGCATTCATTAGGTGTACTGCGGTCTTTTGAAATTTGTTTTCCTTAAATTGTGACAAACCACTAGTTGCAGTGATCCGCTCGTTAAGTATGAAGTTGTAACTCATTTGAGTATAATTAATCAATTTTGTTATTAGTTCTAATGTTGTGTAAAAATTAAAAAATTAAAAAAACAAAAAAGCCAGTGTGCCATGGTTAAAAAAAGTTTGAAAACCACTGCTCTATGGAGTAGTATCAAGACAATGGACATATAATGTATAAAGTATTGGGCATATAATGAGACATGGTGGTTTTACAATATTTATTTTTTTTTCTTTTGACAATTTTGCTCTAATTTACAATGATAGCACTTTTTTTCTAAAATTAAGTCTGTTTGGAAAGGTACTTTTAAGGGGTAATTTTCTGATTTTCTCAAGAGTTTTTTCAATGAATTGGAAAAACTGAGAAAATGGTGCAATATTAAATATTATTACAGAAAATATTTAATGCATACATAATTATTTTACTAAAATATGACATATTTATTGTTGACAAAGAAACACTATTAACCAAACACTGCTCAGAATTGTTCTTTGTTAGCAATGGTTTATCGTTGCTTCAGAGTTCTCTCATCAAATTTGAATAACGGGAAAATATAAGAAATGTAGGTATTAGTTAAAATATATTACAGCCTTCTTTTTTTTGTGTACAAATTTTCTACTAAGAATTTTGCTTCAACTTGTAATGATAGTAATGTTTCTTAAAGGAAATTTCACTAGTTAGGTACTATAGAGAGGTCATTTTTTGATTTTCTCAGGAGTTTTCTCATTAAATGTGAAAAACCAGGAAAAACGTAGGAAAATTGATACAACATTAAACAAATATTATTAAATAAAAAATATATAAAGCCTATTAATTATTTTACTATAAAATGACCTATATATTGTTGACAAAGCATCACTATCAACTGAACTCTGCTCAGAAATGTTTTTTTGTAAGTAATGGTTTATCGTTGCTAACAGGTATACATTAAGTATATATTAAGTTACAGATAACTTAATAGTTTACTATAACAGTGGCTGCACACGTCTCAATATCCTAGGACTTCTTTTTTAGTATTTTCCTCTAAATTCTGTGTTCGTCTTGAGAATTATGGTTTTTGAGTTTTATAATCAGTTACAATTTCTTGTGATGGAGCGGAACAGGAATAGTTGTTATGTTAATTCTCTGGTTTATTTAATGGTCAGACATGTCTGAACAAGCCCTTTAATAACAAAAAAAAAAAAAAAAATTGAAAATACATGACAATATCTAACTTTATTCGTATCATATCTATTTTGTAGATTACTTCTAGTCTAAAAGTATTATTTTATTGATTACACATTAGTACTATTTTATGATATTATTTATTTGTCATATAATTTGTATAACTTTGAATATTATAAATATAGTTTAATACAATAGAAGATGTGGAATTAATATATTTTAATTGATTGGTTAAGTCGGCATTGTGTTTACATTGAGTTAAATATCTGGGGTCTAGATTAGTTAATCATTCTATAGCCCGGTGAAAGTGTAAATTCTTACACAATGTGCTTGGCTGTCTGAGTGGTATGTCCATAATTACATTGTGGTGTGTCTCATAAGTTCCCATATTTATGTAACATTTTCCCAGTGTTTCTGATTCTGGTTCTGAGTTTATTTAGGGCCACCTACACTTTACTGGAAGATAAAATCTCATATAAATTATCTCTTTCTCGTGCTGAAATAGGGTTGAATTATGGCACAAGGGTGTTTTTTTTATTTTTAAATTATATTAGATAATTTTATATTTTATTTATTTATAAACAAGATACAATGAAATAGATAATATTTCATCATAACCTTTAGCTAATTTTTTATAAAATAAAATTTGTTTTCATGTTCATAATATTTTAAATTCTGAGTGTAGTAAAGAATGTACAGGTTTTACAAAGATGTTTATTTCTTTTTTCTTTTTTATGTGTATATAAACACTACCAGAAAGCTTACTCCAATGTATACAATATAGATTTTTTCTGAAAGGAAATTTTTTGGAGTGGTACTTTAATCATTTTTTGATTTTTCCCAATAAAGGAATAAGTTAGAAAAATGGGAAAATGTGTAAAATATATTAGTAAAATACTATGATTTGTTTTTCTTTGAACAAATTTTCTACCAGCAATTTTGCTCCAATTTACAGCACTTTTTTTTAAAAGAAAATCAGACATGGGAATCATTTTAAAGAGTTTATTTTTCAATTTTCCCAGTTTTTCTCAATAAATGTGAAGAATTGAAAAAAAAAATGAGAGAAATCAGTACAATATTAAACAAATAGTATTAAGAAAATATTTAATGCCTATTTAATTATTTTACCATAATATAATGTATATATTGTTAACAAAGCATGAACTCCGTTCAGAATCTTTTTAGTTAGCAATGGTTTATCATTGCTTGCAGATTTAAATTAATTTCCTCTCCTATATCCTACCTTTCCAACTTCTCGCCATTAACAGTGGCTGCACTTATATTTTCATATAAAAAGAATTAACATTAAGACAATTTGTGAAGATAGAATTATTTTCTATAATTTATAATTTAAAATTTTTTCGCTAAATAATTTAAGTTTTCCAAATTATCAAAAAAAAAAACAAACTGAAAAACAACCCCTTGTGCCACAATTCAATCCTATTTCGGCATGGGAAGAGGGTGAGTTAATCAAGTCCACCATATTTTTTACAAAACTATTTTTCATATAAATAAAAAAATGGGTGGAGGGGGGTACTTAATTTTAATTTCTCAAGAAAATTTAAATTCTATATGGATTTGGATTGGATTACCTTAATACGAGAGCTGTTCAGAAAGTAACCAGAGGTTTTAAAATTAAAATAAAAATAAAAAAAAAAGATTTTTATTATAATATACATTTTGAAGGTCAACTCTTTTGGCTATTTTTTTTACATAATAGCCATTTAAATTAAATCATTTATCATAATGAGGTATAAGCCTTTTAATACCTTCTCTGTAGAAATCTACTTAAATCCAATTGCAGGTTAAGAACTTTTTTAGAGTGGTAAATGACAATAAAAACATTTCGACAATCATAATAATAATCATTACCTATATCATATTGTGATATCATAAAAATGAAAGAAGAATCTTCTCTAATCAACCCCCTCCCTACCCCCAAACAAAATTTTTTCTTTTGGATTTATTAAAAACTCGCCATTTGCAAAAAAAAAAATATTTTAAGAAAACATTGGTCACATCGAAACAAAGAAAGTTATAGAAAATCTCCAAATACAGATGTACTCCTAAGAAGTCACAGAACTCATTGATATCAATCCTGCTCTTAGACTCTGTTGGCGCGCAATTTAAATAGTCCTGGAACTTAATCACACCTTGTATATTTAAATTTCTTATATATAATAAATAAAATTTTACAAATTGAATTTTTCTTTTTAGGGTGTTAAACGGAGATTGAATTTAGAGACACTCAATTTTGGGTATGAAGATGTTACATCAACACCAATGACAGCTAAGCGAATGAGAAAATGGTCCAGTTCGAGTGCTGGAAGTGAATCACCTAGTCCAGCTCAAAGTGGTAAGAAAGGGAAAATACCAATTTGAACTCTAATAATAATTTTAAATATGTTATTTTTAGTTGCTGGAAAAAAGTGTTCTGAACGTCCAACACGTTATGACACATCTTTAGGTTTATTGACTAAAAAATTTATTGGTCTTCTTGAAGATTCTACTGATGGTGTTGTTGATTTAAATATAGCATCAGAAAAATTGGATGTACAAAAACGAAGAATATATGATATTACCAATGTTTTAGAAGGTATAGGAATTTTAGAAAAGAAATCAAAAAATAATATTCAATGGAAGTAAGTTATTAGAATTTTAACCGTTTATAAATAATTTATTATCATATTATGGTATTATTATGGTTTAGAGGTGGAAATGTATATGGATCAGACAAAAATAATGTTCAACAGGATATAGACAAAATGAAAGCCAAAGAAGAAGAATTAGATAATTTAATTTCAAATACTGGTATGATTTTATAATTTAATATATTTTTTTTTCTCAGTGTATTGGTCTCTGTATGACCTGTGCTGCCATAAGTAATCTTCTAACTTTCCCTGTTGACACATATCCACCATCCAGGTGCCCTTCTGTGTAGAGAAAATACTGTAATATCTTTCCATCTCTTACACAATCTATGTTTTTTGGTATATATATTTTTTTTATCTTTGCAACTTTTCTGCCAACCATTTTGCTCCAACTTTTAATAATAGCAATGTTTCTTCTAAAAAATAATTTCACTAGTAAGGTACTTTATTAGAGAGGTAATTTTTCGATTTCCTCAAGTTTTTCTAGCAAATGTGAAAACAGAAAACTGGGAAAATTGTACATATTATTAAAGAAAATATATAAAGTCTATTTAATTACTTTACTATTAAATGACATATATACTATATTGATGACAAAGCATCACTATCAACTGAACTCATAATAGTTTTTTTTGTAAGTAATGGTTTTTCGTTGCTTACTGGTACACATTAAATTACCTATAACAGTGGCTGCACCAATCTCCATTATCCTATGACGTCTTTTATTATTTATGTTCACTCTCAAATACTTAAACTGTTCCATTTTTTCATATGTGAAATGTCTATTTGTAAATTAAATTGATTTCCACTTCTGGTGAGAACCATAGATATAATTTATTCTTCGTTAATATGTTGCTCCATCTTTTCACTGATTGTCAAGAGTTTAAAAAACATTGTCCAAATAAAATTTTGTCTGATATTGCTTAAAATTTTAATATCCTTTATGTATGTATGTGCTAATATGTTTCTTTTGCAGCCACATACATTTGTTATGTATGCTTTAGTTATTTTAAAATCTTTTCAAGGCTTAGGTTTAAAGGAGTTAGGGAAACAAGGCATTTTTTTGTTGTAAAAATCTGTTTTATTATATTCTGCTTTAGTTTTTATAGTGCGTTGTTCATGTGTTTCTTACAAATGGTAATGTGTTGTTGTTTATTATGAATCCTATTCCATATTCTTTAGTTCTACGACAACTAGAATATATTCACATCAAAAAGTTTGATTTCCTCCTACATTTGTTCATCTAATCTCTTGTATAGCTACTATTTCACACAGATATCTCTAAAGTGCATATATTATTGTCGGCATTACATTTACTATGTACATTAGACGTACATTTTATGTTCCTAAATTAAACTTTGGCTATTTATTTTTCATTTGAGGTTTTGTAATGTTTTGTTTTGGAACCTAATTGTTTTTATAAGTTAGGTAGTTAGTCCTACATCTATCCTCATTAATGAAGTCTTCACTTCTTTACTGGAATAGTAGAGGGCTATTGCAATGTTGTTTCCAACACTGAGGGATTATAGCGTCACTTCCCTACGCCCATTCCTACTAAAGTTGTCTGCCTAGGATTTTTTGCCAGTAACTATCCTCCAATAGGAGCTCCATGCTCTGGATTCACACCCATAATATAAAAAACTTCTCTTAAGGAGTTTTATCATATTTATGTATTTATTCATTATCCTAAAAAAAAGAATTGATTCTTTTCATAACTCTTTCCTATTTATACTATGTAAGCTTATTTATAATCAAAGAATAACATATATTATTTAGTATGAAAATGTTCTCTGTAGTTGACCTCCCTTTTCTGAAACCTTATTATTTGATACTGCCATAAAAAAATGTCGACATGTGGAGTTTAAAGGATTGTTCATAACACGTGTTTATTAATAATTACCAAAAGAATTTATTATGTTTGATCATTTTCCATGTTTTATTCTTCTTTACGGCTTCTTCCCTGTTCATTAATAATTCTACTATTGCTTTTGCCTGGGGTCTTATTATTCTTTAATTTATTTATGATATTGTAGACTCTAGATTTTAAGGAACTATTAATATAATATGTTTCTATCATATATTAAGAATATGAATAAATAGTTCTATTTATATATATTTTAATAAAACAATCAATTAGATTAGTTTATTTCCAATGTAAAAAGAAGATAATAACATTATTACAAAGAAAAAGTTTTCATTAATATCTACTGATAATGATTTTTTTTTTATCAATAATTTTACTTACAGAACGAGATCTTAAGCAATTAACAGAAGATAAAAGATATGGATATGTAACTTATCAAGACATTAGGTCTATTGACTCGTTTAGAGAAAAGACTGTTTTGGTTGTCAAAGCACCTCCTGAAACTGAATTACAAGTACCTCAAGATCACATTGACGGAGAAGTAAATATACCTAAATGATATTCAGTATTTATGAGTAATGAGCGTGAAGTCAAAATGAGAAAAATTACCCCTAAATTCAAGATTCTGGATAAATTTGTGTTTTTTTTTTTTTTTTTAATTGAAATATTCAATTTAGTAGTAGTTATGGCTATTTTATGTTTATACATTATATATATTTGGTTTTATATCATTTGGTATAATTCTGGTGTAAAAAAAAAAAAAAAAAAAAAAAAAAAAAAAAAAAAACTAGATCTTCAGTATGATTTTTTGAGGGGTATACAATTTAGAATAGTGACTATGATTTAGTTTGAAGTCTGAATGAAAAAACTCTTTTTACTGGCAGTTTCAATTATCTGTACATATAGTTTGATTCCCATTTTCTCACTGACCTTGATTTGATTAACATTCCATTGTATGAATAAGTCTTCTATTCTGCTTAGTAGGTTTTTATTCAGTTTTGTATCTGCATTATGTTCAGTAATAAAGTATTATGAATATTATTAAATTTATGTAATGAACTTAAGAAGACATTATACCCCTATCTACTGTCTCAGTCACAATATTAGTCTCCGTACTATATTTTAGAGAGAATGTCTAGTGTTTTTTGAATTATGAACTATTTTAAAGAGTAAAAAAATTAAGGTTTTTTTTTGTCTTTTATATCAAGCTGTATATTTTGAATAATTCAAAAACCATATGACATTCCCTGCAAAATATTGTTCTTTGTAAATTTCATAATAGGTACTTTACTCAAAAATCAAAATTAAGATAGTTTTATTTATTCTGTGTAAGCATTTTTTTTGTATATTACCCGGTAATTGGACTGAGACAGTAGAAACAAAAAAATTTGTCTGAAAGTTATTTGTTATAGAATGTGCAATCTATATATATATATATACAGGGCGTAATCCCACAAGGATTCAACAAATGCAATAACTTTTGCTCTATTCAATATTTTTGATGTATATTTTTTTAAATAATTAGTATACCTCAGTTCTATAGTTTATATATATATGAACCTTTTTTTTAAAAAAAAGAAGGGGGGGACTTAAAATAAAAAAACTCAAAATAGCCATTTTGTAAAATAGATTTTTAGAAAAATTTTGGTAGTTGAAACTTTTGTTAAATTATGGTCTTTTATTTTCTACAATTTTTTGAAGTTTTGTTAATGTGAATATTACAATATTTTATCAGTTATTGGTCAGGGCACATGACAAGGATTTTCTTTTCCATGAGTTTTTATCATGCAATAATATTATCATATAGGTAATAAGTGGTATAAATCAATTAATAATAGTAATTTTATGGTATTTATTAATTAATTAATTTAATAGTTGTTAAAAAAGAAATTTTCAACAAATCTTAGAAAATTAAAGACCATACTTCAACAAATGTTTCAACTACCAAACATTTTCTTTAAATCTATTTTACAAAATTATTATTTTGAATTTTGTAAAGAAATTTAGTAATTTTTTTTATTTGAAGTCCCCCCCTCTCTAAAATAAATGTTCATATATTAACTATAGCGCTGAGGTATATTAGTTATTTAAAAAAAAAAATATTGAATAGAACAAAAGTAATTTAATTTATTTTAGTCTCATATGCTAATTTGAGAACAATACAATTTTCTAAAAAGTGATATTATAATTATAACAAGGTAGAATTATATTCATCATCACACTTAAATGTGGACTTTCAACTGTTAAATATGGTAACAACCATTCTCTGATAAAGTTGGTCATCTGTTCTAGTTAGGTAGGTGGTTATGTTTGGCTGCTATAAGTACCCCCACCTAACCCACCTATGTTTTATTTAAATTCTGATACTAATTTATTGTGACTTACCATATTTTTGATTCTGATGAATTCCTATGTTTGTTTAGCTTTTTTTTTAAGTATTCATTTGATCTTTATGTTAAACCAAAGTTAAGTCAATAAATTATTTTACCTTTACAATTTCTCTATATGTTTTATAATTTGATTTTGTGGTTGACACCAATTGATATTCCAATATAATAAATCCTTTAAATGTATTGGTATATTATATTTAGGACTTAATTAGGACTACAAATAATATGCTTCAAGATTATTTTTCGAATAATAATGCATTTTGAAACTTAATTCCATATAAATGCATTCATATTATATAAAAAAAAATAAATAATAATTGCATATTATACTGGATATTTAAGCTTTTCTTAGTGTATAAGGTTCTGAGTCTTGAACTAATAAGTTGAAAAATAATTATAAGCTCATATAGTTTTATCAGTTTTAAAATTTATGAAAATTAACTGATTTCCATGGTAGAGATTCCTGCTCATCCTTAGTATTAAATTTGTATACTTTATAATACTTCATTTTTTTTCTCCCCATAGCAAAAGATGTATATGAAAACTAACACAGGAGAAATTGAAGTATTTCTATGTCCAGAATACAATACCAATACAGTTGCACAACCGCAAAGTCAGTTAAGGCCGCCGTATACATCTCAGGTTGGTATCGCTTATGAATTATTTTTGGATTTCACAATTTGATTAAAAATATTTTTGTTTTAGAATGTCAATAATTCATTGATAGGCAACAATACAGTTATCAAATCTCCCCAAAAATCTTCTGTTATTCAACAGTCACCAACATATTCATCACATAAGTACAAAATGGGAACTATCAAATCAGAAAATGAAGAGAACACAACAACAGATAGATGTAAAGAAAAGCCGTTAAACGAACAGCAGTATATGCCCAGTACAAGTGGTTCCGGTATGCAAATTATTACACATATACCGCGTTTCATTTTAAATACACATCTTGGTTTGCATGATGCTTGCATGATGTCCATGAAATTTCAAAATATTACTTTTACTTGTTTATAAATTCTTCAATTTCTTTCTATTTTCTATTTTTGTTTTGTTTTTAACTAATATTTATTTAATCTTCTTATAACTAGTTCTTATCTATTTAGTTTCCATAATTTATTTTACTATTGATCCTTTATTACAAAACAATATTTTGCATGATAGATACTTGATTCAAAATGTATGATTAATTTAATTTATACATCTAGATTCTAGTGTATCTAGTAGTAAATTTGTTTTGCCTTAATTTTCATTTTTCTAATGATAACCTTTCATAAGTTAATATTACTATTATTAAATTATGTTATTACCCTCTGTAACATTTATTAAATCTGATAGTTTCAACATTTTGAATATGATATATTTAATAGAAATTTTAAATACTTATTTTTTTGTATGTTCTTATGGGATTATAACATTTCATCTTGATAATAGTCTATTATATATGGTTGAATTTCATTAACTGCTTTTAAATAAAATGATAAGGTATACAAAATATTGCTATTAACTCTAAGTGAATATAATATACATTCAAATTTCAATTTAATAAATTATCTCTCATGTATTTTTTTATTTTTTAGATTAAGTATTAATATTTAATTATGTAATTTTATTTTACTGTTATCTAAATCCAACATTAGCACAATTATAATTTTTTAAGTAAAGTTCATTACATAAAGTACATTTGCTACTATTCAGAATTCTTTTCAATCTTCTCACATTTTTAATTACAAATATTGAGAGCTACATCATAATCTATTACATTATTATTATTTTATAATTTTTTTTTTTTATAACTTTGATTCATCAAAGAATCAAATAAATTTCAACAAAAACATAATATTGTTAATCTGAATGTCTGTTTTAAACTCAATTATGTTCTTGTGGTTAATGTAAAAAAAACTTCATTGATACTATGAAAGTAATAAAATTATTATTTAGTTGAACAACAATTATTAGTATTATTATTGTTATTATTATTATATATATATATATATATATATATATATATTTTTATTTTTATTTTTATTTTTATTTTTATTTTTTTGCTTTATTTGTTTGTCGTATAACATTGTCTTGTATTATATACATTTTGCTTTTATGATATAATAATATTATAATCTTATAAAAATTAACTGAAAAGTATGAATAGCAAAATTATTAAAATATTTTGTTTTGTTTTACTGCTCCATATTATCCGGAAATAATTTTTGAAAAAAAACTTGCAATTGCTTCGGTTTTACTGCTGTTGAGTGTAAAACAGTCATGTCGGTTGTCCGCTGAATTTTACGAGTGCCTCATGTAATGTATCTCTTTTAGCACCATTGAATTCAGCTGTCGCCTGGTGTGTGGTCTGCTTTTGCCTTATGTACAATCAGTGCTTCTTCATTTACCACATATCTTATCACAATATTATTATGTAGTATGTAAATATTGTATTATTTTAAATTAAAATACAAATGGTTCATACGGATCTTTTTATTTTTCAAAAGTTGTGCAGTGTAGCTAATGAATTTTTAACAATTATTAACATTAAATTCTTCAGTTCTATTCATATATTTGATATTGATTTTTTTTTTCATCATATATATATATATATATATATTAAAGAAATTTACTATTCTATAGTATAAGAATCATAGAAATTTTATTATTTACTTAAATATTGATTTCACTAGTCTTGCTTCTTTCTTTAACGCATGTTGTCTAGTTATTTTTTTATTGAGTAAGTTTGGTTTTCATTAAAACCTAGTGTGAATTTATTATATTTGTATTTTTTTTTTTAGTCAAAGATACATTTGAAATATCTTGTGAACCTTTCTTGATGCTGGAGCCACCAAATGAAGACGACTACAACTACTGTTTAGATTCTGATGAGGGTCTTGGTGACCTGTTTGGCTTTAGATTATAAGTCTGCTCTGATAGTAATAATTTTTATTATATATAATTACTATATGTATATATATACACACGTGTGTGTATTATTATTATTTTTTTTAAAATTTGAGTCATTTTTATTTTCCCTCTTCTAACAGTTTGTAATTTTTTACCAAATATTTGGTACAACTATTTAATTAAATCAATTTTTATTTTTATTTTATATTTTTTTCAGACCCACATTTGTTTTTTTGGTTATTTATTATTCCAAATTTAATTTTCGAATACCTAAACCAATATTATTTAACAACCATTATTATTATTTTATTATATTTTTATTTTAGTTTCCATTTTTTTTTAATTTGATCATTATTTTTTGGACGTATTAAAAATATTTTGATATCAAGGTACAAAAATAAGTTATTTAAAGTATCGTTGTTTTTTAGTAATTAAAAATTCAGCAATTGCAAATGTGTTCAAATTATAAATTATTTTGTTTTATTCGTTTTTATGTTCTTTTCGCATGTGTGCAATTTTTTGATCACTAATTTACTAGTAACTATTGTTACTATGTTAAATTTTAAAGGAAACAAAATTATATTTTATACAAATTAGTGCCTTTTATTTATAAAAATAATTAAAAAATGAGCTTCCCTTTAAGATAAAAATATACCATTAAGGCATGGGGATTGCTCGCCATCCAGAACTGAAAAAGCAGTGTTTGCATCATCAAATCATTTAATTTATGTATATTTAAATGTCTTTAATTATAAATTGTATATTTTATTACTGTTAGTTTTAGTATACTACCTTTAGTTTTATAAGTAAAAATTAGAATTATTCCATAATAATAATGTAAATTTACCATCATGTAATTACTAAATTTTTGTTGTTTTGGTACGTCTTGTATACCAAAATCTTTTATGATTTTTTTTCTTCCCATCATGATCTATGATACCCAATCCGGTGATCTCTATTTATACCATAAACATGAGGAATTTATAATGTATTTAATACACCATAATATTCTTGATTTTTTAAATGATCGTGTTTAGAGGTTTCTCCATTATGCATGTATTCAAATCTTCTTTAGTCTAAAGGTGTGTTTTGTGTTTTCTTACCGTATAATGTATATTATGTATAACAAATAATGGTATGTCAAATTTTATTGATACACTGCCCTGTTCTGTTGGTGTATAGATTACACATTTTTTCTGATATAGTTTGTTTTGGTTAATTTTCCCTCTGATAACCCTTTATTATGATAAAATGTGTATCAAAATTTTCTTATTTTTGTGGTGAATGATTTATTTTAAAAATATAATATATATATATTTCGCTATCAACAACAATTTTGTTTCGCTTTTACCATGTAAAGATATGAATCTTTCAGGCTCTGTATTTATTGACTTGTTTGTCTAACTGCATTTTATTATGCACTAATGGATAATAAACCGTTGATTTGCTTTAATGGACTTCTCACAATCATTATTTATCATTAAATAATTATTTGTTCTCGGATAATTTGTATGTAAAAATATGGTCAAATTCAATTAAATGTTTATAACATTTTTATTGAAAAACATTCAGTAACTTTTATACTCAATCTTTGTATGAAACGCACCTTTTGTACTGGTATTTCTTTTCTTAATTATAATAATTACAATATTTTTTTTTTAGGTCATTAATACCATTGTAATTTATGTATTTATTTTATTTTTTTATTATTTTAGCATAATTATTCATATAACAATAGTATTTTGGATTTAAAGTTTTATTTTAATAAATATAAAATACAATTGTTGTTTGATTTGTATTAATCTCATAACGTAACAGATAAATATGTTTGTTAATCAAACTTCAACATATGTGACATTAAATAGTTATTATCAAATGATAAAAGTTTTAATTATCTAAAAGTAAATATATATATATATATATTTTCAATTAATTTATAGTTAATTATAATGTTAATCTGCTTAAAAAAGAATTCATTTTTTTTCAATTTAAAAATGTCATACTTTGTACTATAGGTGGGCTACTGTTATAGGTAAGAAGTGGAAAGGTAGGATATAAAAGGGAATTAAATGTATATCTGTATTGAAAAATTGAACTTTGCTAATAAAAAGTTATTCTGAGCAGAGTTCGGTTATACATATTTTGAAAGCCTGATATTTACGATTTGAAAACTCATATAAAAAAAAGTAAACTCAAACCCCTTGTGAAATCAAAAAAATGACCTTACTAAAGTACTACCCAGACAATATGATTCAATTTTAGATTCTGAGTAGAAGCGATTATTTGAACAACTTCCACCAGAAGACTTGGATTTCTAAGTGCAGCACCCGTTTGGAGGTACTTTACAGTGGTTATTTTTCAATTTCTTCAAGAGTTTTCTCATCAAATTTGAAAAACCAATTAATATAAATTGGAAAATGTTTAAAGTATATATTAAAATATTATAATTTTTTTCCCTATGCACAACTTTTCAACCAGTAATTTTGCTCAAAGATTTAATGATAGCAATGTTTCTAAAACAAAATTTCACTAAAGAGGTCATTTTTTGATTTTCCCCAGCAAAATATTGGAAAAATCATTAACAAATTTTATTAAAAAGAATATATAAAGCTTATTTAATTATTTTACTATAAAATGACATATATTATATTGTTGATAAAGCATCATTATTAACTATACTCTGTTCAGAATTGTTTTTTCGTAAGCAATGGTTTGTAGTTGCTTACAGATACACATTAAATTCCCATCTATACTTTACCTTCTTAACTTCCCACCTATATCAATGGCTGCGCCCGTACCCATTATCTTATCTTTTTTTTTTTTTTTACTGTACAAAAATTCTATCAGAAATCTTACTCCAAATTTTACGTGCGATAACCATATCTGAAAATAAATGTGGTCCGGAGGTGATTTTTTGATATTCCAAGCAGTTTTTATAAAATCTTGAAAAACAGGGTAAAACTTAAGAAAAATTTGTCAATTTACGAAAATGATGCTTTTATTGTTTTTGTTCAGTTTTTTTTTTTATTTGTTATTCAGTTAAAAACATTTTTTTATTGACTTGAAATTTGCCCAAAACTTATATTCACTGTTTCTAGACGTGTACAATTTCCATTTTGAAACAATTTATGGACGTTTTAATTTTAGGAGTTTTGTACATTAGTCTTACTCGATGGTTACTGTGTGGTAAAATTATAAGACCTAACAGAAATGTTTGAACATTTCTCAGGAGTTTCATAAAAAGTCTTATTTAGTGGTCAAAAAAAAATGTGAGTAATGTAGTATTTTTTTTTATGATGGAATTTATAAATCAAATTTTGACGAATATCGTTTGAGTAAGTAAACAATTATGTGGAACAAATCAAATTGTTTGTTACAAACATAAGTATATTGCCGATTTTAGAACGGTGGTGAAGTCAAGATTGAGTGGATTGACTTAATTTCGAAATTATAGCTTTTTGAAGTTCTAATGTTATGTTAAACAACTATATTGTCAATTTCTATAATATGTCTGTCGTAGTCTAATGGTGCTATCAACCTATTGTAGTCTTAGAGATCACGAGTTCAAACTCGTGTTCCAAAAAAAAATGTTTACATTTGTTTTTTCTCTTCACCTAAACGGAAAAAAATCGGTCATTTTAGGTGCATCTAGAGATCCAAGCTCGCTCGCTCAAACTATTTAAATCGTAAAATCTCCTCGATTTGCTGTGCACATTTCTACCAGAAATCTTACTCCGATAAAAGGTACTACACTTTATCAAGTACAAAGTATCAATATCAAATGAACTCCATTAAGAATCGTTTTTTCGTAAGCAATGGTTTATCGTTGCTTACAGATATATATTAAATTCCCGTTTATAAACTACCTCCCACCTTTCTTCCTACGCCAGTGGCTACACTCGTCTCCATTATCTTATCTTTCTTTTAGATTCCGAGCGTAGCGAGGGATCCATTGGGATCCATTAGTTTTATAATTCTGTTTTTTCCAAACTTGCTCCGATGTACTCGTATAAGTGTAGCACCTTTTCTTTGTTATCAAAGTAATAGATTGTAGTTTGATTTTTAAAACAACTATTTAAATAAATTAGTTAACTATGTATCGTTAGTTATTTAGTCTCATGCCAGTCAGATTAAATTCCTTTTCCTGTCCAGTGATTGATCACTTTTGTGACCACGTCATTTGGGTTTGAAAAAAGGTCCATCCATTTGCATTGGGTCTCTATCATTAGGCATTCCAATAAGTGTTTTTCGTCCTGGACACTTCCACATTCACAGAAGTCACTGTGAACCTTCTTTTTTCCATTTTACTAAGTTTTTCTTGGTTCTGGCTGCCTCTGCTCCCAGCCGATTGAGTGTTTTCCATGTTTCGTATTTTAGATTTTGTCCTGATAGCTTTTTATCGCTCGTGTCCATGTCGGTTCATTCACTCTTACTGTATTTCTTTCTTTCCACATAATTTGTTTTTCTTGTTTTATAATCAGGGAATCTCCTTTTGTACTGTACGTGAAACTCTTTCTTGATTTGAGGAGTTTTACCGTAGCTACGTATCCGTGTAGTGGGTGCCTTGAATCTTGATTACATTTGTATCTTTTAATTTCAGTTATCGTTGTTCTGCGTATATCTGGGGTTGCTATGCCACTTAGGGTATGCAGTTTATGTATCTCTGTTGGTCTGGGGCATTCTGTTATTATTCTGTAAAACTCGTTGAGTGCTATATCAATGTTTTTCGCATGTGCTGATGCTTTCCAAACAGAGCATACGTATTCGGCGGCTGAGTAGCTTAGTGCTATTGCTGAAGTTCTTAGGGTGTTTGCATCTGCACCCCATTTGGAGTTTACAAGTTTCCGTAGTATGTTGCTCCTGGTATAGATTCGAGTATTTTCGCAGTGTTTTAGGTTAGTGATTTATCCAGCATCACACCCAGGTTTTTTGGGAACTTAGTGTAGCCCAGATGCATATACTCCCTTTCAATTTTTACTTCTCCAATTGCATTTATATTTCTTAAGTGGAAAGAACACGTTTGCGTTTTATTAGTGTTTGGTCTTCAGTGGTTTTTTTTGTAGTACATAGACATCTCTTTTAAGGCAAGTATCAGAGTCTTTTCTACTTCTTCAAACGTATATTTTCGCGAGGTAATGGCTAGGTTATTTGCATATAGGAAGTGTTTTGTATATAGGTTCGTTGGCTGGTCATTTGTGTTAAAAAAGGGTCAGTGTTAATACGCTATCCTATGGTAGACCACTATGTTGGTTTCGCCATCTACTCTTCTTACCTTGTAAGCTGACATAAAAACGTATTATAGAAACGAAGGAGTATTTCAATAATTCTGGTGAATTTTATGAATAAAGTTAGTTCGTAAACTTTTCGTTTCAGTTTTTTAAGATTTATTGTGTCATAAGCTGCACTCCGATCGATAGGTCTGAAATTGTTCGCATCCGTTGATGTTATTCATGGTTTTTAGTAATGCAATGATATGAGTCTTGTGCCACATTTTGGGAATTCGCATTTGATCAATATAATCATTACACATATTTAGGAACAATTCTCGTGCTCGGTGCTCTCGTGCGCTAGTATCATCAACTCCTGCTAGTTTCCTTTTTATCATGGTTTTATGCCAGTATTTAGTTCTTCGATTGTTAAATGAACTTCAAAAAGGCTAGTCTCGTGACTTGTATCTGTTATTATTTTTTCCCTGATATTTGATTTTCATTTTACAGTTTTTGGGTTTAGGAGCAGTTAGCTGCAACCGCATTTACGGTTATGTTTGTATATGTTAACTCATTATGTCTTGTAGTTTTGTAACATTAGTTAACTATGTATAATAAATACCCAGCCAGATAATATACTAAACAATCGAAAACAGTGTAGTCTGAATAATTGTGTTTTAAAAAAATGTTATCAGCTTCCCAACATCCATTATTCACAATATCATTTATTTTAGATTTCGAGAATGGCGAGGGGCTATTGGTTTACAATGCTGTTTATTTCTTTCTTTTTGTCTTTTTTTGTTCTAGTCTGTGGACACGTTTTTTCCTAGTAAACTTGATTCTCAACTTCTCACCTACAACAGTGGCCACTTCCATTCCCAGTATCAGCTCTTTTTTTTCGAAATTATACTCTATTTAGAATAGCATATAAAGTAATAACCAATTTTAACTGTATTACCTGTTTTTAAGGTTTTTCAGTTTAGCAGCTTTAAATATTTCGTGGATTAATTCAGATTGACTATTTGGAATATTAGAACTTTATAATACTTTATCAAGATTATAATGCGTTATTTTCTTCATTTTATTTTTAATATTGTTTAAATGATTTTGTAAACAGGCGATTTTCAAGTGAGCTCTGGAAAATTTTTTTGTTAATATATTTATTATCTTCTTTATTCTACTAATGCCTTTTTATTTTTTATTTGGAAAAAAAACGTCTTGGTATATTAGTTATTCCTTTGACGAAACTTTTTATTCTATATAATAAACCACAGAAGTTTATACCAGATACAAGTATCACTGAAAATAATTATTGCTGATATATTATATTTTCAAATATATTCCATGCTCAATGCAATATAATTTTTATATTAATATTTATTATTACTGTCATCTTTGGGAAAAACAATGATACATTTTGAATGTCACCACATGCCACATTTTTCTACTGAACTTATGGATAATTTTACATCTCCATATACATTTGATGACACTGTACCTTTACACAAGCTAATGATATCAAATATTTTAATTATCTTCTCTATTTCAGTGTAATTATCTATGTTCATATTGGCATAGAATATATACATATTCTATGTTTATAATTTAGCTGGTTTTCCATTTTAATGGAAAATAGCCTTGTTTTAAAAGTATAGTAAAAAGTTGATAAATAATAGGAGTAAAAATAAATCTGCATTTATATAAAAATAATGAGGATAATCCATTTGGACTAATGAGGGATTTGGAGTTTAAAGTATCAAATTCATGAAAAACATCCATGGAATTAATCACACAATTATTAATAGCATCGAAAGATTCAAAGACAGGAAAGGGATATTCTGTGCTGGGAAAAATTTGATTTTTTATAAATTGAGGAAAAATAAGTACTAAAAATATGTACTATGTTTTGGCCATTATCAGCTGTTTTCCCATTAAGTTCTAAGGTGCTTGGGAAGTCAGGAGAAGATTTTAGATTTTTTATATAGGAATAGAAGAATTTTGGGTTTTTTTTTTTAATAGAGTTTTGAGTTTTATGTAAACATTTACCGTAATTTATTTTATTTTGAATTTTACATTTTGATCGGAGAGAACGCCAAATAATTGGAATTAGAATGTGAAGTCTTATAAAGAAAATTAGTAAATTTCTTTTGTTTAGTTAGAGATTTAATATCGTTAGAAAACCAAATAGTAAATTTATAATAAACGTAAACTAATTTAGGAATATAAAAATCAATGGCAGAAAATAAAATACAATAAAAGTTATCAATGAAAGCATCAATGTTTGTATTATCTTTGAAAAGTTCAGACCAGTTAAAAGAGGCTAAGTATGATAGAATTGATCGATGGTTTGCTTTTTGCCAATTGTAAGTAAGTTCAAAAAATATGAGAAATGAGAAGTATGGGGTAGAAGAAGCAGAAATTAACAGAAATAGAATCATACGAATTAAGAACAAGATAGAACAAGATCCAGTAAACAATTTTTTGAGTTTAAAATAGTGTTGCATTGAAGTAAATTAAAAAAATTATAGTTTCTTATTAAATACAGCTTCAGTTGAGGATAAATTATAAATTTAAGACGAATTTAATTTGGTAAACTCCAAAACTAACATATTAGCAACCCGCCAAACTAGAACATCGCGTTCATTTTAATTTTCATTTTTCAACCGTCCACATTCGCATTTCGTGTCATGGCTCAGGACAACGACGCTGCCACCGTCAACATCGCCGCGCTCGCGATCATCAGCCTGTCCACGTTTTGGTGGCGTTCGTCCTCGCAATGGTTCGTCCATGTGAACGTCGTTTTCGCGTCGAACCGAATTTCATCTAACACGAATCGGATTAACCTCGTATTATCGGCCCTCGACGAAGAGGTTATCCGCGCGGTCTCTGACCTGCTCAGCAGCAACGCTCTGTACGAGCCCGTTTGCACCCGTCTCGACACGTTCAGCGTCTCACGTTCCGTTCGTTTTCGCGCGATTGTTTAGCTAGGCGGCCTCGGCGACCGTCACCCATCACAGATGTTTCCGGAAATGCGCGCTTCCCTTCCAGAGGGCATCAGTGAGCAGACTCTCATGGAGTTCTGGCTCCAGAAACTTACGTCCGTACAGGCGCGGTGTAGCGTGTACGATTGTGAGCTGCTGGCCGCATATCTGACAATCAAACATTTCGTGCAGCCATCGAAGGCAGTTTCGTCACACTCCGTACGGACCACCGACTGTTGCTGTATATGTTCACACAGAAATCGGAAAAACTTATCAACTGATAAGCGCGATACATCGCATTTTTCTCGCAGTACCAAAACGGCGTCGAACATGTTAGCGGCGAATCCAACGTCATTTCTGACGCGCTATTTCGGCTCGATATTTCACCTCTCGATCACTATCGTCCAAATAAAGGTCAGTGGGCCGTCGACTAGAACAACGACCCGTAACTGAACAGCATTTTATTTGACAATGTTCGGTCGTCCCTCGACCTTCGTGCCTTGCTCCGCACTTCGCAGGGTTCCCTGCTTTTCGACGTTTCGAACGGCGGATGCCGCCTCTGCGTTCCCGCGTGTCTACGTAAAACTATTTTTTCGTCCATCCACGACCAGTCCCACGAAGTTCATGCAGCCTCATCAAAGGCCATTTTTGCTTGCTCAACATGGATAGGGACATTCGTTTGTGGTCAAGTTCTTTTGTTCCATGTCAAAAAAGCAAGATCCAGCGCCATACTGCGTCTTCACTCCCTTCGCCCAAGCGTCAATTCGGGCACATTTTCTGCAACCTCGTCGGTTCACTCGAACGGTTGCAAATACCTCTACTCACGTGCGTTGACCGTTTTATGCGTTGGCCCGAGGCATGACCCGTCGACTCCATGTCTGCACACACCGTTACCTCCACGCTCGTCACTAACTGGATCACGCGCTTCGGAGTTCTGAACGTCATTACCGACCAGGGTCGCCAGTTCGAGTCCGATCTGTTCAGGACGCTCATGGAAGTTTGCGGCATTCAGCACGTCCGAACCTCTCTCTATCACCCGCAGTCGAACGGAATGGTCGAGTGTTTTCACAGCATGCTCAAGGCGTTGCTCATCGTTCACGATTCACCGAATTGGTCTTGCTGTCTACCCATCATGTACTGCTCGCGCTTCACAATACTGTCAAGGAGGACGTCGGCGTCGCTTCTGCGGAGTTGGTTTTCGGCACGCCTCTACGGCTTCCAGGCGAGCTTTTCGCGTTAGCTCCCCCCGAACCGTCTCCGCACGAGCTCGTCACCTTGCTTCGCGATTCTATTGTTCGACTTCGATCAAGGGTCTAACTACGATTCGACCCGTCTCGTTTTCGTGCCAACTCCACGCGATACCGTTTCGCACGTTTTCGTACTCATCGACGCGCACTGTGTTCCGCGCCAGCTGTTGTTCGAGGGCTCGTTCGCCGTTCTAGACCGCCGTCCCAAGGACTTCATACTACAGTTCCTGAACCAGACAGGATGGGTTTCGGTGGATCGCCTCAAGCTAGCCTTCATACTGCGGGAGGACCCGTTAGCCGATTACACCTATGCAGCTTATGTTGTCAAGCGGCGTGGCCATCCTCAACGCAAACGGGTATGTTTCTTTTTTCCCCGGGGGAATGTGGCGGACTCTACGCCACGGGAACTATTTACCATTGTTGATGACATTTGCTATTTAATAAATATCTCATTGCTACCCATACCGAATTCGTTCTTTATTCCCAACACGTTAGATACCTCTCCAATATTAACATATTAGCAACCCTATAAAGTTCTATAGATTTGACATTATTTTCCAGAGATAAGACTCTATTCTAATTAAGAGTACACCGGGTGACGGACGAAAACACGTCCGTTTTCGCAAATACGTCCCCACTCCTAGTATCGGTATTATTTCATCCACTTACCCGCCTATCTATCGGCCCTACCACTGCTACCACCTGGTAGTCTTACTGCCGTCGATACAAATGGTATAGGACAATGGTCTTTAACCTTTTTGAACTCACGACCTACTTTTTTAGACCTACATTATTCGTGATCCACATAAGGCATACATAAAGAAAAACGTTTGTAGAAAAAAAAAATCTAAAATTACTTAAAACTTTGTAGTATTACTGTAATAACTGAATAAATAAAAATAAAAAAACTTTTTAACGGATACGTAAATATGACTAGAATAATAACGTGACCAACATTTATTCGTCTTTAAACACAGCGAGTTTTGTTCAGAACTCTAACACCAAGCCTCGGGATAGATTATTTGGAAAAAAGACTGGAAACTGGAAATCGGATTTATTTTGTGGTACTTGGAATTTACGAACTTTATTTAAACAAGGAGCAGCATTGAATCTAGTAAGAGTAGCAGAGAAATATAAAATAAGATGTATTGCTCTGCAAGAAGTGAAATGGGAAGATACAGGATCTAGTAAAATTTCTTAAACAACCATCATTAACGGAAATAGTGAACTAGGACATAGATTAGGGACTGGTTTCGCGATACATGAATCAATAATCTACATGGTGAAGGACTTCAGGGATATTAGTCCAAGAATCTCCACGTTAACACTAAGGACCAGAGATTTCCGAATAGTTCTAATTAATGCTCATGCACAAACCGAAGAAAAAGACAATGAAGAGAAGGAAGAGTTCTACTCTACACTAGAAGACACAATGGATACAGCAGTTGGTGATGTTAAAATAGTTTTAGGGGATTTTAACGCTAAAATCGGCAAGGAAGCACTGTATAGAGCGGTAATTGGGACACATAGCCTACATGAGGTTTCGAATGACAACAGTATGAAACTGATTAATTTTGCAGTAGGAAAAGGACTATGTTCCCTCGCAAGGAGATTCCTAAGTACACATTGGTATCACCTGATGGAAAATATAAGAATCAGATAGACCACGTTCTGGTAAATGGGAGGTTTAGAAATGGAATTACTAATGTTCCAACATTACGTGGGGCAGACTCTGATTCTGATCATTTACTAGTGGGTTTTTGGGTACGTATAAAGCTAAAAAAGCATAATAAATGTAATACAACATCCATGAAAAGATATGACGTGGAGAAGTTGGAAGACAAGAGTATTCTCAAGGATTATAACAATGCAATCAAGAAGATTTTTAAAGAAAAGCGGATAAAACATACCAGTGATGTGAATGAAATATGGAATAATGTCAAAGGTTCTATAGAAACAGCAGCGACGGGAGTAATAGGAACAAAAAGAAATGTATCAAAAGTGTGGTTCAATAATATAGGTGGTTTTAGACTGGTGAAGTCTATGACGGACCAAATATTTATTATTAGACAATTATATCAAAAAATGTGGGAATTCGATAGGGAAATACATACGCTATTCGTTGACTTCAAAAAAGCATACGACAGTATTCATAGGGAAAGTCTCATAAATATTCTGAAAGAGTTCCATTTTCCCCAGAAGTTGGTCAATCTAGTGTCAATCAGCATCATGGAAACCGTGATCAAAATAAAAGTCAGAAATATGAAGTCTGATCCAGTTACAGTAAAATCCGGCCTTAGACAGGGTGATTCCATCTCACCTATTCTCTTCAATTTGGTAAAGATAACATCACAGGAGAGTGGAGAAGAAGGAAAAATATAGAGCTANAAAATAAAAGTCAAAAATATGAAGTCTGATCCAGTTACAGTATAATCCGGCCTTAGACAGGTTGATTCCATCTCACCTATTCTCTTCAACCTGGTATTGGAAAAAGTAATAAGAGGGATGCAAATTGAACCCCATGAAGGAATAAAACTCCGGAACTCGACTATTCCATTATTGGCATATGCCGATGATATAGTACTGATGGACGAATCTCAACCTGGAGTTAAACGGCTCTGTGACAGACTTAATGACGCAGCACAGAAAGTAGGACTACAAATTAATGAACAAAAAACTGAATATATGATTGAAGGTAGAAAAAATTGGATGGATCACGTTTTAGAGGTAGATCATTTTAAATTTAAGAGAGTCAATTCTTTCAAATATCTTGGCTCAATTGTGACTGAAAAAAATGATATCACCAAGGAAGTAGCCGCGAGAATCCAAGCGGGAAACAGGACTTATTATGGTTTGGAGAAACTATTAAGTTCTAAATCATTATCAAGAGAGATAAAGAGACGTTTGTATACTAGTCTAATATGGCCAGTGATATTGTATGGATCGGAAACCTGGGCACTAAGGAAATCAGATGAGAATAAGTTTTTAATACTAGAAAGGAAAATATTACGAAAGATCTTCGGTCCAATAAAAGATAACATCACAGGAGAGTGGAGAAGAAGGAAAAATATAGAGCTACAAGAAATTTTTAATGAAAATAACATAGCAGAGACGATCAAGAAAAAAAGGTTGCGGTGGGCAGGACATGCAATGCGAAGCCAGAACTCTTTACTAAGAATGGTTTTAGAACAGAATCCAGTAGAAAAAAGGCCTTTGGGAAGACCAAAATTGAGATGGGAAGATTTAGTTAAGAGAGATATAGAAGTCTTAGGAGGCGGATCAAACTGGAAGGATTTGGCGATGAATAGAGATGCCTGGAGAATTGGTTGTGAGACGGGATGGTCCTAGCGGCCGATTAACCTAAGAAGAAGAAGAAACACAGTAACAATATCGATAATGTTCGTAAATTATGTGATTCTTTAACGATAATAATATAATATATTTATTTTATTACTAGCCTGGTTTACTCGTAAATTATTATATTTAATGTCGTACTACGTAGAATCATACCAGTATATGAAACATATACTGTGAATTGAAATTCATTATACTATTATTTTTTTGAATATAAATGATATAATATTGTTTGTACATAACATATTTCAATAATTTTCAAACAATATTTTCATTTATTAATTTTCTAAGTTTAATAATTAAATTTGTATACCTTATATAATTGTATAAACTTAATTTTTATTTTAAAAAGAAAACTTATCGCAACCCAATTTTTAGGCTTTCGTGACCCAAAAATGGGTCGTAACCCACCGGTTGAAGACCTCTGGTATAGAACATACGTAGCGAACCAAATACAATAACATTTTTTTTTTTTAACTGCCTTACCGTGTACACATAATTTTTCGTAAAAACACTATGGTTTTTTAAAAATATTTTTTTGAAAATAGTATGCCTATTTTTTTGTCGATATGTCTGACAAAAGTTCTGCTGCAGTTGCAACACCACCAAAGAAAAATCCTTGTGAAAAAGTAAGTAAATAATTTAAAATTTAATTTTTTGAATAATGAAATTCGATTTTTTTTTTATTTTACATTTTATTAATTTATTCAAATTTTTTTAGATCGTATCTTCCAATTAGAGACGGATGATAATAAACTTATTCAAGGCAAAGTTAGTTCAAATGCCAGAAGATACGATGCGAAATTCAGGCAAATTATATCCAAAGAACTGAGAATAGGTAAGAAGATATAATTGATAGTTTCGAAAACTATTGCCGAACATAATAATAATAAAACAGTAACTTCGCCATGTGAAAAACGGATGAGACTCGTTCTAAAATACGTTTGATGGTTTGCACCGGAATGTGATACGTAGATACATGTACATTTCTTTTGGTTTGAAAAACAGATACTTACAGTCGAAAATTTCTAGAACTAAATTCTACAACAAATTTATTTAGACTTATAAAATTTATGGATTTCGAGTACACTGAAAGAAGTAGAAATAGTGCATTAACCGAGAAAGACGAAATTGTTGTGTGGCAAGGACAATATTTGGAAGATTTGAAAAGATATCAAGAGGTGGGACGACACGGTTTTTATTTAGATGAGACATGGGTCAATGCGGGCGAGTGCACGAACAAAACATAGGTCGACCAAGCAATTTAATCTCACCGTGATGCATTCCTACGAGGTTTAACGACAAGTTCCAAAAATTCATCAGGTAAAGGGAACCTTCTGATTGTTTTTCACATTGGGTTTGAAGACGGCTTCCCATCAGGTGGTTTACTATGTTTTGAATCGAAAAAAATTTCATCGATTATCTCGATAAAATGAATAGAGACATTTTATGAATGGATGGAAAGTATTTTACTACGTCCGAAAGAAAATTTGTTATTGTTATGGACAATACCTCTCATCACTCTGTTAAAGTCAAAAAAATACCTACACCTACATCTGTGACAAAAAAGGCTAATATTATCAATTGGCTAGAAGGTAAAGGCCAAATAATTTATAGACCTATGGTTATAATACAACTTTTGGCTATAGTGAACTAAATAAAACCACTTCACGATAAATACAAAATTGACGAGATTGCAATAGAACATGGACACACAATTCTAATACCACTGTGAACTTAACTCCATTGAGCTGAAATTGTCTTCAGTAAAAAATCACGTTAAACAAAACAATATTACGTACAAGTTGGCTGACGTCAAAGTGTTATTGAATAAAGGCATCGAGCGTATGAATTTTGAAATGTAGAAATTCTAATTTCAACCTTAAAGCTACATATATCTGTTTTAAGTTGCGTAATTTTGCGATGTTGCTCGTTAGTTTTATAATAGTTGGTATAATATTTGCATATATTATCATGATTTGTTTGACAATAGGTTTAATAGATATTTTCACTCGTTATATACACGACGATGTCAATGACAATGCGCGCAGCGTACAATCAGTAACGATTGTTTCGGACTAATTATAGAGGGGTCCAGCAACGTTGGCGCTTAATAACGTCTCACGTATGCGGGAGCCGGTGTACTCTTAATTGGAATATAGTTTCTTTTATAATACCAGAATCAATAGTGATATTTATGTATATTTCAATGAACGAATCGAAGTACATTTATAGACTATATTTATGTCTTGTATTTACAATAATATTTTGTTGTTACAGTTACTGGTTATCTTAAGTATAATATATAGAGTTTCTTAAATAACTAAATCTGAAATAATTGGTATAAAGATAGGTTTAAGTATAATAGGTGTGATGTTGTGAGCATTTATAATCCTTAAAATTAATTAAAAATATAATTCACTAAAAGAAAAATGATTAAAAATTTATAAGTATTAAGTAAGTCTTTACAGCTACGATTTATGAAACCTAACATTGAAGAGACTTTATTCTGGATATAAATATTTTTTTTTNTTTTTCTAAGAACTTTTCTTTCAAATAACCGTAGTTTTTCATCATCGCCTCTCGTCGTTGCCCATGTGGCACATGCATATGTCAATATAGAGCAGATGTAACTAATGTATAGATGTTCTTTTGTTTTTCTTGACAGCAGCTTAGATTTAAAGAGGGTTTTCAGTGCATAAAGGCATCGGTTAGCAGCGCCCAATCTAATATTGATCTCAGCATGCATGTTGTTTTGGTTATTTAGGGTAGACCTAAGGTACTTGAACTCTTGTACTTCTTCAAAGGTGTTATTTCCCACGTGGAGGTTATTATGGTCACCCCCTCCTCGCTTTACCATCATGTATTTAGTTTTTTCACTGTTTATGGTTAAGCCAATATCTTTTCCTATCTTTATCAGTTCTTCAACAGTATTCTGAATACCTTCTCGTGAATTCCCAATAACCACTATGTCGTCTGCATATGCTAGTAAGATATTTCCTTCGTCAAGGTTTAATGTCTCAGTTCGCGGTACCTTTCTTATTACACTCTCCAGTGCCATATTGAAAAGCACTGGTGACATCGCATCCCCTTGCTTTAATCCACTATTTATTATAAACGAAGATGATATCTCGTTGTTCACCTTGACTCGGCTACTGGTATTCGTGTTACACAGTTTTATCATGTTGATTAATTTAGTTGGTAATCAAAGTCTTTAAGAACTTTCCATAGTTTTCATCTAATTATGCTATCATATGCTTGTTTGTAATCTACAAAAACCATATGTAGATCTTTCGCGAACTCATAACTTTTTTCCATAATTTGTCTTATGACAAATATGTGATCAGTAGTTGATTTATTTTTTTTAAATCCGCTTTGGTAGTTACCTACTATCTCATCTGTATAAATTTGCAATCTTTTAAGTATGATTAATGATAATACCTTATACCCAGTGTTCAAGAGTGTTATTCCTCTATAATTCTCTACTTTTTTTCGGTTACCTTTTTTGAAAATTGGACATATCAATGATTCATTCCAGTCTTGTGGTATCTTTTCCTTTATCCATATCTGTTGAATTAGATGATGTAATTTTTGTGTTAGGTTTTTCCCTCCTAACTTCAATAATTCAGCTACAATTTTATCATCTCCTGGTGACTTATTATTTTTTAGAGTCTGGATTGCATACTGTGTCTCTTCTAAACTTGGGTTTAATACTTCTGGTTCTGCTGTATAATGTATGGTGTCGTCTTGTTCGCCTACTTCTTCCGTTGTTGAGCCTCTGTTAAGGAGTTTCTTAAAGTACATTCTAAATTCCTCGGCCATGTTTTCCGATCTAGTAATTAGAGCACCATTATTATCTTCTATCATCTGTATAGCTGGTATAAATCCATTTTTAAATGTTTTGCAACGTTTGAAGAATTCTCTGGGGTTGTGTTTGAAGTTTTCAATCTCCCCTAATCTTTCTTTTTCCGCTATTCTCTTTTCTTTTCTTATCAGTGTAGTTACTTCTCTTCGTTTGTTCTCGAAGTCCCTTATGTTCTCGGGGGTTGGTGTATGGATTGCTTTGATTCTGGCTTCATTGCGTTCCTTGATTCCTTTCTTGCAATTATCATTAAACCATTTCTTTGTTTTCTTTCTTTGTGTGTGTTGAATGACTTTTTCTGCGGATTCCGTTATTGAGGCTTTTATTACTTTCCACGACTCCTCAACCTGTTCATTATCACTGCCCTCTCTTTTTCCCAAGAAATTTGTCACTGTTTCTTGAAATGTCCGTAATGTTTCTTCATTTTTTAATTTATCCACATCGTATTTTCCGAGGATTTTTTGTTTCTTTTTCCATTCCATGGACATCTTTACTCTGAAGTCAATCAGGATCAAGTAATGGTCTGTGTCTGCGTCTGCTCCTCTGTAGCTTTTGACGTTTCTTATAATCGTCTTAAATTTATTTTCTATAAGGACATGATCAATTTGGCTACTATATCTTCCTCCTGGAGATAACCACGTTTCTTTATGAATATTTTTCCTTGGGAATCTTGTACTGCTTATTACCATATTTTTACTTATTGCAAAATTAATTAATCTTATTCCGTTATCATTACTTCGGTCGTGTAGACTATGTTTTCCAATAGTCGCTTTGTATGCATTTTCTTTTCCCACTTGGGCGTTCATATCTCCCAATAATAATTTAATGCAATGACCTGGTAAAGCGTCATATACTTGTTCCAATTCTTCATAAAAGGCGTCTTTTGTTTCTTCATTTCCTGATTCGGTTGGTGCGTATGCGCAAATCATTACCATGTCCCGGTGGTTCATATTGATCCGAATGTAAAATATTCGGTCATTTATAGCCTTAAATTGTTTAATCCATGGTATTAGACTATTGTGCACGAGGAAACCCACCCCATTTTCATGCTTATTAGACGTTATACCACCATAGAATAATGGCATGTTACCTGTTGGTAGACATCCTTCACCTTGCCATCTCGTTTCTTGTAACGCTACTATATTTACCTTATATCTATCTATTGCATCAACTAGTGTACCAAGGGCTCCTGCTTTATATAACGTTCTTACGTTCCATGTGCCAATCCTAAATCCTTGTAGTCCGGGCCTTTTCCATTGTGTTTTATCCAAATCTCTGTCCCGAGGCTTTAGTTTTGGTTTCTTAACAGTAGAGTTTTTTTACAGTGACGGGTTGTTAGCCCGTCGCCAAACCCCCAACCTGGAGGACCAGACTGAGCCAACCAGTTAAGGTCAGCTCAGAGCTCGGGGCCCCGGGTTCGCCAAACCCGTAGTGCTAATTACTTAGCACCCCCTGAGGGGGGATATAAATATACTGATCATTAAATAAAAGAGACGGGTCAAAATAAATTCACAAATCCTTGTAAAGAATAACTCGATTCAATATGATATTACTTTAATCATAATTATATTAAGATTGGATTACAAATCCTAGAAAAAGCCATTATTTTACATTTCTTAATGTTGATGTATAAATTATTTAGACTACACCAAGTAAAATATGTAATTATACATAAATCCCAGCCCTACTAATAACTAAAAGTCCCAGATACGGTGTCTTGACTTCAATCTTTATGGAGGGTGCGAGACGATATCATTATATAGTGGGAGTTCAGGGTTGTTCATTACTTTTGTTACTTCCTGGTGAGCCTTCATTAACCTCCTCAATTCTAGAGATATTATGTTTGCCAGCACCAGCAACCATTGAGTTTTGGTCGTTCTCACAGTCCCCAATATATTTCGCATTGACTTGTTGAGCTCTATGTCTACTTTTTTACTGTGAGTACTCATTGACAATACCAGAGCATAGTGCTCAGCTACGCTGTAAACCAATGCTAGTGTAGATGTTCGTAAGACTTCCGCTTTGCTACCCCAACTTGTGCCCGCTAGTTTTGCTATTATGTAGTTTCTAAATTTCAATTTTTCCTTTATTGCCTCTATATGGTCCTTGAATGTTAAAGATCTGTCTATTTTTATCCCTAGATACCTTGGGCATTCGCTATTAACCACTGGAGTGTCCCCTATCTTTAGTTCTAGTTTTCTGTTAGCTTCCCGGTTATTTAAGTGAATAGCTATCGCTACCGTATTATGTGGATTTAATGTAAGGTACCACTTTCTGAAATATTTTTTGAGAGTAGTTAAGTCTCGATTTAGTATGCTCTTTATCTCGCTAAAGGAATCGGCTTGGTATACTAATGCAATGTTGTCCACATAGATAAATTTTCTCACCTCTGTTACTGCTAAATCAGTTGTATAAATATTAAAAAGAAGAGGTGAAAGGACCGACCCTTGGGGTAGTCCATTCTGTAAATATTTGTATGGGCTCTTTTTACCATTTAGGTACACTCTGTTTGATAGCATCGATTCCAATAATCTCATTGTCTACATTGACTAAATTTCACTATATTGGCCAGCTTGACTAGCAGCCCTCTCTTCCAGACTGTATCATACGCCGCAGATAGATCAAGAAAACTGTGCCGGATTATTTCTTTTTTTGGAAACCATTTTCTACATATGGGGTAAAAACAAGGACTTGATCACAGTAGATTCTGCCTGTCCTAAATCCAGCTTGTTCTATTGGTAATTCTTTTTCTAGTATCGGTTGCAGTTTCAGAAGAATTAGTCTCTCGCAAACTTTGTATGTCATTGATAATAGCGAGATTGGTCTATAGTTGCTGACATCATTTGCTGTCTTCCCCGGTTTTTAAATGTCTATCACTTTGGCCTCTCTCCATAATTTCGGGAGGACTCCGGAATTTGCAATGTTTGTTGTTAATTTAGCTAACCAATTTCTACCTTTGACTCTTAGGTTATTTAGAAATTCTGGTAGGATGCCATCCGCTCCAACAGCTTTGCCGTTTTAAACAGCTTTTAAGATTATATCAACTTCGCTTTTAGTAAAAGTATCAACTAGTGGCGGCGAGTCCTTGCACAAGAAGAGTTCATTAGCAAGTAGTTTCCTTATTTCGAACTTTTCTTGTTTTTTCTGTTTGATGTTTGATACTTTAAAAAGTTGGTTTTCTATCGCATTCGCCGAAACCTCCTCTTTCTTGAGAACCGGTTAGGCTGACCTTAGCTTCCTAAGGAGTGCCCCTTGATTTCGAAAAGTCCAGACTTTCTAATGCATTAATCCATCTTTTTCTTGCATGGAGTTTAATTTTGTACATGTCCTCTAGATATGGACTTCGACGCTGCCGTCTTGAGGAGCTTAATGAATCTGATGTAATTTTCTTGAACTGGCTCTATTCGATTGATGTTATCCTCTATATATTTGAAATGGCTATCCCAGTTACGTAAGTTCCATCTAGACAATTTTGGTTTATTGATCCTGATTTATTGTTCCTCTTGGGGAACTTATTCAATATTGTACGTCTTACTTATAAGGGTTGATCTAACTCACTTTTTATAACGAAGCCTAGGTCTGGGGACATAGTAGTATCCCATCTGCCTGAGTTGAAGGTTCCGCCTTGTTTAATATCATATATCAGAAAAGTATGGTTAATATTAGTCCATTGACAAGTTTCTCACCATTTTCAACTTCTTCATTGTATCCCCATTTAGTATTGTGGCTATTGAAATCTATGAAAATCCCTGGATGTTGACAAGACGGAAGCACGGAGTCACACCACTTGCTTGAAGGCGGTTTGTACACATTATATATCGTAATATTCCCAATGCTTATTCTGATAGAATACTGGTTTCCTTTCGTTCTCTTAATTAGCTGTTGGTCTATATGTTGATTTACATAAGCTGCTATTCCATGTTTGTTATAACCTATATAGTCCATTAAACGGAAACCAGGTATTGATAGTCGTTTTATTTCACCTTCAGGAATGTGTGTTTCCTGTATAGTCAATATGTTTAACACATAACATATAACATAACACATAACACTTAACATTAATCATATAGGCGATACTAGTACATGTTGGTTACATATTAAAGAAATATGATGTTAATTACAAATTTTCTTGGATAAAAATAAGCGTTCATGTTGACTTAACAAAAAAAATGAAAGTTATTTTAATTCAATTGAAAACATAGAGTTCTCACTGTTTTGAAAAATATACTAGTAACAATGCGACCAAAGCAAAAAGTAGGCGATTTTAACAAACAGAATGATTTGTTTATTCCAATACCATATCAAAATGATAGATTCAATTGTGGTGTACAGTGAAGATTCGATGATTTTTGAATTCCACTCAATTATTTTTGAGGAATGGACATTAATAATAAATTAGAATAATCTATTTTAATTTGTATTTTTATTATTAGTTGGATAAAATTTTCAATTTTTAATAACACCTAATTCTTTTTATTTTACTGAAGTTATGTATGTGTAAGATATATATTTTTTGTCTACAATTATTAGATTATCTTGTAAATATTTTTTAATTAACTCATACTAAATTATGACACTTGTTTTATGTTTAAACTCATGTTTATATTTATTAAAACTGACTAAGTTATCCAACTTGGAGCATATTGAATTGAAAAGAAAACATATATACATTATATAGCAAATACATGATTTACAATAATTTCACTCAAAGGAAATGTAAAAATTTCATATTTAGATATTTTATTCAATGTACTTTAATGAAATCTACCTGTGTTCATTATAAATACATGTCAACTATATATTATTTAATAATATATATATATATATATATAAGTATGAGTGTTAATATACCAATGAATACTTCAGTTAGAGTAATGAGGATTTTTAGGCCTATTATGGATCTTTTACCGCTCTCATAAATTTAAAAAGAAACAAATCTGAATACAATACCTCATGGGTGGATTTGGAAATTTGCATTACTCATTTATTATTTCTCTTGTTAACATCGAAAATTGTGAATACAATATAAGCTTTAGCATTCAAATGATTATGAAAATGAATTTCAATAAATTTTATAACTTGATTGTACATTTGTATAGAATAAACATTGTATAATTCACACTAATTCATGATAAGCTATACAAATTTGTACTTCTCAACAAAGTAATTTATTAACATGTTTATATGTTAATTCCCATTATTTTAATCAATAATTTGTAATTTTTTCAAATTATTCATTGCATATTTCCAATATTAATTAATTTAATTATGTTTAACAAAACTACAAATATAGTTAATAGAAACAATTTTTCTAGCAATAGAATAACTTAACACATTTTAAATATTTTATTCACTAGAATACAAAATATAAAGCTTCTAACATTATATATTACATAGGTATACACCTACAACCAATCATTTTGTATAAATACATTTGTTTTTAAAACACTTAAATATCTTGAATTTTATTCGTTTTATTATTTATGTGTTTAGTTTATACTTTGTGTATTGAATAAAAATGTTTGATGTATGTTTACAGCAGTTACTGGCCTTGTATGACCAAACAGATTCATCTAACGTTATTTTGATTTAGTGCATTAGTTTTAAATCTAGTAACTCAATTGATTAGAATGACCAAGCAGTTATCCCACAAATATTCTATTTGAATATAATTAAGGTTTTACAAAAATTAATTATACAAATATGTTTATTTCACAAGCGACATATAACAGTTATAATTAGGGCACGGATTTCAATTCAAAATGCATCTTTTTTCGATGAATATTAGACATTGATTTCCAAATACATAATTTAATTCATATAACACAAGCGATTCAAAGGTGAAACTTTTATTTTGACTGTTTTTTGCATTTTTCAATATTTTTTTCATTTTTTAGCATTTTCTTGATATATTTAATCTATGATACTTTATAATATAAATTTAGCTAATTCAAATTATTACCCATGTTTTTTTTTGGATTATCCAAATACTATTATCACTAGTTAGAAGTCTAATTTTTCAAGTAATTCTTCTTTATTTTTTTAAAACTAAAAATATAAATTTAAAAATGTATAGCATTTGTCAATGATTTTTAGTGCATTTAAATCCGGATCTTAGTTATAACTAAGGCTCGGAAGTTATAGGAACTAAAAAGGGAAAAATTTTATATTATGCATGAAAAATTACGCAAAAAGTGTAATAAATATGCTAAACTAAGATTTAATATGAATGACACTGTTGTCATTAAATTAAGAATTAACTGAGATGGTAAGAAATATTAATAAATAATTATGTTAAATAATAAAATTTTAAATTTTAAATTTAATATTGATTAAAATAAATTGGGTAAGAAAGAAAGAAAATTCATTTTTTAGAAAATAATAATATGCATTTTTCTCTAAAATTGACAAAATATGCATTTTAAATGTTTAATTTTGAATTTATTCATCATATAAAACGTTTTTCCTAGTTTGGTCTGTTATAAATTTAATACATACAAAAAAATATGCAATTCATCCTATAACTTTAGAGCTATAGTTAAAACTAAATTGCATGACTAATTATTATAATTTAATAATAGGTAAAAATTGGCATATTTGGTAAAACAATTAAAATTTGATATTTAATCGATATTAAATTACTCCTTATTATTCTGGGTAAATACAACTTAAAGTACGTGGTAATAACCAATATCTTATCAATTGTTTAGGAGTTAATTACGACAAGCTATCATCGCAGACATCGGTATCCTGACATTCTGTATATTTTAATTCGTGGCTATGGTACATTCACTTTACCTAGATCTGTTCAAGTCTATTCAGTATTTCGACTGACAGTAAAAGTTCAGAAAGTTTATTATCGACAAATTTTATTTGCGATTCAAATAATTAAACTCTTAGTAAAGTTATAAAAGTATTTTATTTTAATTCTTGAAATATGGTGAGTAGAACTTGGTAATTATTAATATATTTCATTAATAATTACATTATAATATTGTTAATCTACCTAATGATATGTATTTTATATAAATTAAGGAAAATTCTATCCCAATTGAAATCCATGCTCAAAAATTGAGTGAATGGTTAATGAGTAGAAAACACTGTAAGAAAGATTGGCATTCACATATACAATTAATTAGAGAAAAAATCAACACAGCTATACAAGACATGCCCGAAAATAAGGAAATCGTTCAACTGTTGTCTGGAACTTGTATGTATTAAAAACCTTATATTTTTATTAATATTTTCCATTGATTTTTTTTTTTTTTTGTATTAGATATTAATTATTTCTATTGCAAACGTATAATTGAAATATTAAAAGAAACCGAAGCGAACACAAAAAATTTATTTGGATCATATGGTTCACAGAGAATGAAGGATTGGTTAGAAATCGAAAAACTTTACTTAAAAGACAATGTATATCTGGCGGAAGCTTGTGATCTTCTTGTACAAAACATCAAGTACCATATACCCGCAATCAAGAAGCAAATAACTAAAACACAGTCTGGTCAATCAGTAAGACAATTATAAATAATATAAAATCCTTTTAGTGATATTTTTAATTTTTATTTAATTTGTATTGTATAGGATTGTGATAAAAAAATTGAAGATTACACTAAATCTATTCAAACATCACGTAAAGATCTGGAATCACTACAAAAACAGTTTTCCATTTCTGGGGACAGTAACAGTTTTAAACGTACACTTATTGAAAGAATTTGTGAACTTAAAAAAGTTTACGAAGATGTTATGGAACATGTAAAAATTCTTAAGAAAGCAAATACTTATTTTTCTTCTTTTATCACAGATATTCTGGGTTTAAATATTAACCTTACTATGCTTCAATATATATTAAGTAATAATTATTGTCCTTAAAAATATTATTTTCATCCATATTGTTTAAAATAGCAGACTAATACTTTCAGATAATGGCAACACTACCTATTATGAATACCTATATGGGGAGAAACCAAGTCGAATAGAAGAACCCGTAATTTCAATTGAAGAAAATAATAAAGTATGTTTATTTATAGATACAAATTGAGTGTCGGTTAAAAGACATTTTATTTATTGTAGGATACAATTGATGATGAAGAAATTGACTGGGGTGATCTGGATAATCCATCTGAAGTGTGTAAATTATAAATTAAAATTACATTATACAACTGAATGTGATATTGCATTATTAAAAAAAAAAAATAATATTTTAAACTATAAAATATCCTCATTGTATGCAGGGTATTGACTATGGTATTACTTTGGAAGAAAGTGGAATAGTTGTTGAAAGTCTACAAACTGATGAAAGTATTGCCAGGGGTAACGAAGCTTTGACTTTATTGGATAATTTAAAAACAAGAAGCGAGTTAATGAACGATATTTTAGAAGTGAGATACTATAGTAAATTTGTGTTGTACTGTAGAATTATTTATCAATATATTATCAAATTTTCAATACAAGCCATAATATATTTATATATATCATATTTATTATTGTTTTTTTTTTTAGTTAGAATCATTTTTAAATATGCGGTTGCTAGGATTGTCAAATTCTACATTATCTGTCCAATCTGGAGTTGAAATAAATGAATCCAAACCAGAGATAGTATCCATGTTAGATGTTATAAAAGTAATCAAGCAAAAGCTAAATGATCCAGTTGTACAACATTTACAGCAAATTAAACATTCACAGAGGTAAAAAATCAAAAGGTTTTAATGATTTTAGTTGTATAACACAGAACGTTAATATTTTTTCATTTTTTTTTTAAAACAAAAATAATCAGATATTTAAATAAGCTGGAGGCAACATTTTTTCAAAAAGTCAATAATATAGAGAAAATGATCAATTCTCAGATAGCTGTAAGACACCGAAAAAAGGAATTAGCCGATGAATATGACCAACTAGTTCCTAAGTTAAAATTGATACAACAAAAAAACAAGCAATTAATAACAGAAGTGAGTATTTTTATTTTCTGTTAACGATTTTTACAAAAAATCGTATTTCGATATATTCTAGTAGTAACATTTGTCTAACTGGTGAATTAGGGAGATAATTGGTTATTTTTTTTTGTAGTTTTCTTAATAATTAGGAAAACCTGATGCATGAAATCTTCTCCGAATATTTAAATTAGCCTTTTATAGATATAATAAAGTGTTCAAAACATTCATATTCATTTGAAATTGTTTTGTTTTTATATGTGGATAAAATTGTTTTGACCCAGCAAAAGTGCTCGAAAATTTAACATGAGTCATTTGTCATAAATTATTTATTAGTGGTTTTAAAAAAACGGTCATATAGTTATTTTTGTTATAAGTTATTAAAGTTCAAATTTTAATCAACATTGTACAAATACAGAATTTTAAATACATTTTCAACTTTTCACCTAGAGCTGCATCCAGTCTACAAGATACATTTTTGACAAAATGTTTCTGACAAAATTATCGGAAAAAAACAAATTGTAAATTAAAAACATATGCATCCAGACCAACCTATAAACATTTATTCATTACCAATGTTTAATGAGTTTTTTTATCCTTCAAAAACATCAAGGACTTGAAGGAAAACCATTTTGGTTCTGCAACTTCTTTAGTTCCAGTAGTCTTTTTGCATTACAGTAAAATTAGCCAACGACAGTTTTCATTTTTTTTTTTTTTCAATTTCTACATTATTAATATTGATAATTCTTAAAATTTCACACAAAATGTAATTTTTTTAAATTTATTTCAGATTCTGAGTGGTATGAGGAATGTATTGTTTCTACAATAATGTTTATTTTTTCATCTGAACAACTTTTCTAGCAAAAATTTTGCTCCAATTTATAATAATAGCACTTTTTCTGAATGGAAACTTGACTGGGGTGGTACTTTAGGGAGGTCAGTTTTTTGATTTTTTGACAGAAAAATAGGTACAATATAAAACAAATATTATTAAAGAAAATGTAATATGCAATACGTATATGTAATTATTTTACCATAATAATATGATATATAAATTGTTAACAAAGCAATAATATGAATCAAAGTCGGCTCAGAATCTTTTTTTCTTTATCAAAGGTTTATCGTTGCATACAAAAATACATTACATTTCCCCTCTACTACCTTTTCAACTACTCACTTATAACAGTGGCTGCACCTGTCCCCATTATCTTAGGACAGCTTTTTACTATTTAACTGCATTTTTTCCTGTAATATTGGCCTTTCATAATATAAATCAATTAACTGACAAGTTTTATCCCTAGTTAACTCCATTGTGTTTTTTGTAGAAAGGTACAAAATATATATATTAAAATATTTAAAGTGCATACAATTTATTTATTTGTATATCATTAGTTTATGTTAAAACTAATTGTCTAACTGGACGTTTGTACTGTGTACACAAAATAATACAATTTCATAAAAATATCAAAATGTTAGTAATGATGATAAAAGTTGACTAGTCTGGACATGGTGATACATCGTCAACGACAATATTAATAAACATTATTTGAAATTTATCTCTATTTTTTCTAATCATTATGAAATCATTTAAGCTTTATTTAAAAATCATTTTTAATTTTTTACCTCTACTCCATATACTCCATAAGTGCATACTTTTGATTTTGCAATAGGAACCCTCCCTTTTTAAACACTAATTTGAATATGGAGAATATTTTCTAGAAATGATGATATACATCACATTAATATCAGATTTACTATTTATCAGATATAACAATTTAAAGTTTATATTAATCAATATTAATCCACCTTAATATATGAATAATGGTTATCTACAAATTGTTGACCTTATCTTCTAAGATTGTGTAACCACAGAATAAAAATAAAGTTGATAACCAATATATTTCGTTTAATCAACTATCAAAGTTATATAATTAAAAAAGAGCCAATACTTGGGACAGGTAAGACTGTTCTAATTGGGATGGTAAGATAGTTATTTTCTATTTTGTATCAATATATTGACTAAAGTAATATAATGTATATAATATTTTCAGATTGAACTTGATATATCAAAGAAATATAAAGGCCGTCCTGTGTATATAATTGGAACATCAATATTTGGGTTTTAAATACTAAATATAATGTTACACAAATAGTTTTATAAATATATAAAACGAAATATGATTTTGTGTGGTTTACTAATAAAATAGTATAAGTAAATATTACATACACATTTATTTGGATATTATTTTTTTTTTTATTGTTCATAATAAATGTTTTTTTTTTTTTGTTTTACATGCCAATTACATTTTTTTTTTTCAATATTATATTTAGAAACATTGAATAAATTTATAAATTCTATTTACTAAAATAAACAAGAGAAACAAAATTGATGCTCACATATATTTAATACACAGTATAAAAACAAAATATTGTGAACAGTATACATCTTGCTGTTCAGACATGTATTTAAGAAATAAAGAAGTCCACTTCAACGCTTCATGATCCTCTGTAATAAAGAAAAATCAAATATCATTAAATTACCTATATTTGTCATTGAGTAATATACAATATGTAATGGTTGTGTAAGAATAAAAATATTATTTTTTTTATCTATTTAGTATATATATAGTTTTACAAAGTATGGGGGCGTGAGACCTGAAAATAACATAATACATTAAAATTATTAAAACGTTTTTGCAAAAGATGTTTTCTATCAGAAATATTGCTCCAATTAAAAAAATGACAAGATATTGATTTCAATTCAATTTATTATTATAGTGTTTGGCAACTGATATAGAATGTCATTTTTTGATATCGAATATAATTTTCATAATTGGAAAAACCAAGAAAAACAGGAAATATGGCATTTGGGTTTTTTGTTGAAAAATTATTGTAGACTTGTAGTTTTCAGAAAAATACTTATATTGGTCTTTTGTAGAGATGGTAAAATTATCAGAATATTTCAACTATTTTTAACTATAGGTATTTGATATTTTCATATATTTATGTAATTTATTTGGTAGGTATCTGTTAATAAAATTATACGACTAGAAAAATGCTTGAAAATTTAACACAAAGTACATTATAAGTTGTACTTAGTAGTCTCGAAAATACATTTTTGTTAAATGCATTAATTTTTTTTTTTATATATATATATATGTGTGTTTTAAGATCATATTTTGATGAAAACCTTAAAAATAAAGGCATTTCAAAATATGTCTTACCAAACTTGTTTTTTGATGAATAATTTTGTTTAAATTCATTGTACATCACAAGATAAAAATAGTTTATACAATTTATCTTAAAACCACTAGCAAATGATATTTAAAAAGAAAAACATAAAATATCGCTAAGTTCTTTATAAAGTTTTATCTTGAAAAATTGCAAATGAAATATTATTGCAATAATTATTTTCATAAATATTATATTTTTATAATAATTATACTTACACAATGATATTGTTAATGGGTATATGAATGAGTTTGACAAAAAATCCAATGAAACCCATTATGCAAAACCCAATAGCTGTTGCAATTGCGATTTTTTGGAATTCTGTGAACAAAGTTCATAATTTCATAAATCGGTTGGATAATGAATAGACAAAATCATAATGTTTACCTTTCCTGTCTGGTTTGGTGCATCTTTTCACCAGCCTGACCGAGTCTTTAGAGAACTGACGTCCAGGTTCCAATACTTTTGTTACTTGATCCATATTATTACCTTCTACGCGTATGTGACCTACGGGATAACAAAAACAACTTAACAAAATAATTCAAATAAACGACACGGTGATGAGGTTGTGGCAAATATAATTGTTTAACACACAGAGTTTTGGTATGAGAGGTAAATAGCGTACGAGTAATGAACGCGTCAACAACTGGGTCGTTCCACGAAACGCGGAACTGTATATTAAACAGTAAACTGATTATTTTAGTGACACGTTTTGATTGTTCTTATCACTAACAGTCTACGTAAATAACAAATGGAAGCAACGTCATCGGTCGTGTTGGAATCATAGATAATAAAAGATTTTATTATCTATGGTTGGAACGCCATTGATTGTAAACAACTGTTTGACTGATGTTCGGAATATCCTTGGAGCACGAGAGAGTTTGCTGATGTTTTTATCCCCAGCAGATCACATAAATAATAATAATTATCACCTTTCTGGAAACCTGTTCGAGCATCGAGCTGCCGCCGCAGCAGCAGCAGCAAACTGGATGCATTATAATGTGATTGATTGTCAATAAATTATTATTGACATTTGACACCAGTTTGTTGGCTTCTCCCGTCATCTGCTCATTTCTATCCCGTTTTACGCGTCTCTGATCTTTTGGGTCGGCCACAGATACATCCGATTTATATACACGTTCGTAATATGCACAGCACCCAATAATATGGCTTTCTTGTGTCCTGTAAGAATACGTCGAGGCAAGAAGAAAAAAAGTACGATTAATTCCTCACTCCCACCACTATTACTGCTAAAATTTATCCTTCAGGACCTGTTGGATCGTTGAATTTTTTTTAAATTTTTAACTTGCTTACAGGTGGTTCAACCAGCGATTTGGATAAAGAGGTGTTACGTGGAACCAATGTCAATGGACCCGTTCCCGGTATGGGACGTATCACTGGCAGTGCGTCTATTGAGACATTGGTGCGCGTCGGTATTGAAAAAGAAAATGGTCTGTCACCCGATAGTAAAATGGTTGTGCTGCACGATTTCACACCGTGTGTCGATGATGAGTTGACTGTGAAACGAGGCCAGGTTAGTGTCTTATCTTACCTATATAGACCAAGTATTCTGGGAAAAAGAACGTGAAAAGTACTTTTAAATTGATTTATCAGTGATACGTTTTCATGTGGGTACGGTTTACCCATTTTATGTTCTAGCCATTTTAGATCCAATAAATATTCAATGTTTTGCAAATAGTAAATACCCTTATACACATTTAAAAACATAGATGAAAAAAAATTATTTTTAGTTATCAGTTTTCATTTTTTATTATAATCAACATAATATAGTATAATTTTGCTTAACTTGATTGTAACGTTTTTAAATGACTTTAAAATTAAGCAAAATTGTTCTATCACTTCAAAATCCTCTATTTATAAACTAATTATACTCGTAATAACTTCAATATTGCATAATAATGGTTATTTTGTTTCTAAAATTATTTTCAACTTGTCATAAGTTGAATTCCATCTTGTAGTTACATCTTGTTTTAATTTAACTGTTTCCGATTTGTGTTTGCATATTTTTTAATTTTAAAGTAGCTTGTGTGATTCTTTTAAAATGTTCTACTATGGACTTAACTCGTTTATGCTTATCATTTATTTTGTTTAAACCATTTTGTGCATAGCTTAAATTTAAACTGTGTGCAAAACGTGGAATATGAGACCAGCTGCTGTCTATACTAATTGCAGAAGTTATATTAGATGCATTATCACTTACTGCTACTTTCATTTTTTCAGAAATATCCTAATCTTTAAAAGTTTTATTCAAAAATGTTGACAAATTTAATGCAATATGTTTTTCTTCAAAATTATAACATCCCAAAACATCAGATTTCACCTCACAATTTTCTTTGTCAATAAAATGACCAGTTACTGCAACAAAACTATGTGTATTTAAAGAAGTCCACTCATTGGTCGTTATAGTGATATATAATGCATTACTCAAAGATGTGGATACTTTTTCTTTAGTTGTATTATACAATTGTGGAATAATAGAAGTTGGATATTGTTTTTCTGCTTGATAGTAAGTAACCGGGATTTACAAGATTTACATAATTTCCTAAATTCTGTGTCCTCTACATTATTATACGGTTAGAACTCTTTAGCTATATTATTAGCTATCATGATAGCTAATTGATCATCAATTTTTTTAGATTTTAAAACGGAAACTAGCTTAATAATATATGATTTAATATGTGTTTGTTTAGGTTGTGCAAATGTTTTTACAACTGAAGGTGATTGTTTAGTACTTATATTTTCAGATGAACTACAGATTTGACATATAGGGTTATCAACGTTGTTGATTAATTAATATTGGCTGTCATTTGTGAGATGCATACTCATATTGAATAGTGTGCTTTCTTTTTAAATGCCTGTTTAGTTTAGCAGTGGATCCCCCTTTAAACAAATACGAATTAGAGCAATAATGACATTTCGCACTATCACTGTCAACTATAATATAATAATGCCAAATCTCACTTGTTTTTCTATCTGAACTAGACATTTTTAATTGTGATTACATTGTAATAAATCCGTCACTTCGGTAGTATTGACTGGGTCACTAAAACGTTATACTCACAGTAAAATAATAACATTAAATAAAACAGAGAAATTATTGAATAGAAAATTAACAATAAAGTCTTACAAATAATAAATTATGTCCTAGTATTACACACTATGTCCAACAAGTATTAATTACTAATAACAGAAATAGTATAATAATAATAACAACACTTAATGAACTGTTTCTCGTTTTTGAACGAATCCTATAATCCTATAAAAATAAACATCATTATTTATTATTATAACTGCTATTATTTATTACATTCTACCAAGTCGCCAAGAACTATTGATTATAAATATTCATTGTGAATGTTATTATTTATAAACAGGTACCTATTGTATAGCTATATTTTAATTATTAATAGTTGTAGTTCATCAACAAATACGAATCCGGTTATTTAATATTTTTTCGAATGACGAGCACGCGCATACTGGTGCAATCAGTACATGATATGAATATGGAACAATGTAATTTTGGACCTATTACACAATTACACATTTGTACCCAAAAGGATCAAATTGGTGGAATTGTTCCGATACATTCCCTCTCTGTTATAAGTAACGATTTATTCATGAACACCACATCACTAGTTTTCAATCAAAGAATTGATTTATTGCCATTTCTATTTGGTGTAAATCTAGTTTTACAACCCAAGCTAGTTTTAAAAATTTTTTTTTTCAAAATGTTTGTTTTTGTCTGTACATTAAGAATCTAAATAAAAAAGTTGGACAGATTTGTAAGTTCTGGGGGAAAATTCATGAAGTTCGGATTTTCCATTTCGCATATTTCTTAGTTAGAATTTAACATTTTCAATTTTTTTTTTCCAAGATATGTTTTTTAATGCTTAATTCATTGGTATAATCAAAACTTTCCTATCATACTTTTATAGTTATTGTACATAAATCTACCCACCTTTAGTGCTTTTATCTTTCACCCTGTTACCTACCTGATGTGGTTTTGCACAAAAAATCGAGGATTATTTTCAATTAAAATTGTCCGAGTGAGCACAGCAAAATACGGCATGTTTAAACGTTTGCAATTTTAAATCTAAGCGAAATAGATTTATTTTCATTTCATGAATTCAATAAAAAAAAACTACTTTTTACCACATTTTGAATTAATTCCAAAAATATTATTTTTCAAGGTTATAAACCAATACCTTTAATAACTTTAAAAGTTAGTATTATAGGTAAGTTTTGATTATGCCAATGGAATCATTAAGCATTAAGAAACACGCATTTTGAAAAAAAAAAAATTGAAAATTGATGTATTTAAATGTCTTAATATTTTAATTTTAAACACTATTAACAAATCTACCTAAAAACATTGTATAATATAATAATATAATATTATAATAAACAATATAACTTCTCCATAAAGCTACTTTAAAACTATTTTCAAGGTAATCAATTTAAAACATTTTGTTTTTATTGTTTACTTAAGAACATTTTCATTAATATAAACTTTAGTATCTATCTGACTTTTAAACTGAGTTTATAGTTAAAAGCTGACCAAAATTGGTTGGTTAATTTCTTAAACTATTTAAAAATCAATGTTTACATAATAACAAAACTTCATGCATGTTACAATTACTTTTAACATATTTATTGTTTTCTAGGTTGTTAACATTTTATACAGAGAGAATGATTGGGTGTATGTAATAGCAGAGGATAGCCGTCAAGAGGGTTTTATACCTCATTCTTATTGTACACCTTATAATTCTCAACTTGGTGAGATAGCTTTAAATAATGTTAAAAAAAAATTACCACGTGCACCTGCTGCTACACCAACTGAAACGGTTATTGAAGTTGAAATAAATGAACAACAAAAACATGGTTTGTGTATTACATTTTATCAATATTAATATAATATTGTATATTATAACTTTAAACATAATTGTTCTGTATGTATTTTTTTTTTTCATTATTAGGAAATTGTGGTGATTTATCAGACTGTGAAAGTTTTGGCAATAAAACTCAAGATCAAAAGATTCAAAATAAGCAAAATATAACTAGTTCTAGAGCATCATTATTAAGTGCGTCTTCACATCCTGAAATTCGACCTTTTTTCAAAGTGAGTATTATTAATATATTGAATATAGTTTACACACTTGCATAACTTACAGAGATCTTACTATCTGTGTGTAATGGGAAAATAATAAAAGAATAAATAAAAGCCTCTTCATAACATTAAACCGGTAAATAGATATACCAGTACACTGATTAATATTTTGTATACTAGATTCTAGAATATAAAGATTTTTTCTATGATAATCAAGATTTCCTGTAGAACACCAAACATTTGTACACTAATTTCTATTAGTGATTTACACTATGTTTAATTTTTAAATTTAATATATTGTATATTTTTTTCATCTCTATACTTTTTGACTAGAATCATAATAAAATTTTACATTACACATAATCATGTTTTGTTTGATGTTTTTTCTCTTCTTTATTCTCTTTTACTTTTTGTTATTTACTTAAATTATTTTATTTTATTATAGGATGTTCAAATGATATTAATATTGCTATGATTTTAGGTTCTAAGCAAATCGAGAAATGTATTGGTTTCATAATGATATTTTATTTTTATTTATTTTATACTGTGTGCAAAAATTCCATCAGAAACCTGTCTCCGAAGTATTAAATATAGCACCTTTTTTGAAAGGAAATTTTCTTGGGGTAATACAGTAGAGGGGGGTCATTTTTTGATTTTCCCAGGGGGTTTTCATAAAAAAAAAAATGGAAAAATGTACAAAAATAATAAAAGTATTATTTTTAATTTACAAATAAAAACACATCTTTGTCAAATTTGTAATTTTCTCTGTTATTTGTCTGTTAACATGTATTTGACCAGTTGTGGATTTTACACCTTTAAAACCTAGTTAGTACTCTTCTACTCCGTTTTTTTTTTTAATAGTTTTAGTCTTTTTAAAGTTATATTTGTGAGGACTTTATGATGGGCTAAGTAAAGTTTCCTCTTTAACAGAGGTTCCTAAACTTTTTATGGTATTACTCATTTTGGAAATTATTGAAATTTTGCCGACAATAATATCACTTTTTTTTTCTGCTGTTTCTTGGATCAGTTATTTACAACAAAGAATTAAAAACTATGCATTTTAAAGAATGGCCAATTTTATTTTTAAATTTGTATCAAGGAATATTTATAATTATTTACTTAGTTAGTAAAAAATAATATATATATTAGTAAGTATATAAAATTTTAATATGAAACATGTTATTGTTTCTTATATTTTATTACTGTATTGATATTCACTTCAATATTTGTTAGCTTGAGATGCAGTGAGTTTGACAATATCAATTTGCTCCATAATTTGGTTTTGATAGCAACCTTTGCTGAAAATCCAACTTCACAATTATATGATTAAATAAATAGGAGTAACATCTATACAGCTTCATTGAAAACATTTCAATGGGTTTCTCGAACAGACAATCAGAAACTTTTAAATTTTTTGATTGAAATTCATTTTAAATAAATTATTTTCAATTAATTCTTCTTTAGCTCTTATTTCATTTTTAGATAGTTCTCTATCTCACTCAGAAAATATGAATCAAAATTATCTTTCAGTGTATTTAAATTATTAGAAATAGATGAAATAATGTTATCATCAAATTTTATTTGTAAATCAAATAAATATAGAACAACTATTAATTTGATTGTGTCTATTGACAAATTCATAATTGTAACACTCGCAGATAACGATTTATGATAAAACTGAATTTGAACATCAACGAAAAGTAATAAAAATACAGAATTATAGTACCACATGTCAAAAAAAAAAAAATATATTATTTAAAAATATTATGGTGACAGTTTGGGAACCTCTGCTCTATAGTTTTGGCAGTCCCTTAAGTCTCCATTTTTATGTATTGGACACAGTACTAAATAAAATCTGCTATGATTTTGGTAATATTTCTTCTTTCCATGTTATAGTTATTACCTGTTTCAAGTATATTATAAGTTCCAACATTTTTGAGTCTTCTCTTAACGCTCTTCCTCTCTTTAGCATATTAACTACATTTTAATCTCCTCCAACAAAGGCCTCTAAAAATTCCTCTACTGAATATTATTATTTTCAGTTTCTATTTGAGTTGATATGTTCAAGATATTTTTGAGATCTTTTCGAGTTCTTTTGTTACCTCTTCCTTATCAGTGATTAATTTTAACTTTTTGTTTTTCATTATTCTTGATCTAGGTTCGAATCTATTTGATTCTGAGCGAAGCGAGGAATGTATTGGTTTTACAATGATTTAAATTTTTTTTTTTTCAGTGGACAACTTTTCTATCAGAAATCTTGCTCCAATTTTTAAGTGTTGCACTTTTTCTGAAATGGAATTGGACTGGGGGAGGTACTTTAGGGAGGTCATTTTTGGATTTTCTAAGTTGGCTTTCATAATATCTGGGAATAAACCGGGATAAAATGTAGGGAAAAAAAACTACGAAAATAATGCATTTTGAATTTAGTTTAAAATGTTCATAGTGGTTTAAAATTTGGATAGAAAACTTATATTTACCTTTTCTAGAGGTGATAAAACTGTGAAAGCATATCAGACATTTATTAATTGTTTATAGATATTTTAAATTTCTGAGTAATTTTTATTTAGTAGGTACTCTGTGGATAAAATTGTGCTTAGAAATTGATTACGAGGTTCATTAGAAGTTGTATATTGTGGTCAAAACAAAAAAAAAAAAAATGAGTTGTTTTATATATGCTCTGAATCTAAAAGAGCTGATAATGGAAACAGGTGCGACCACTGTTATAGTGGAGAAAGTAGTATACAGTGGTATGGCGCGCAGCGTTTTATTAGTGCTCCACTATTCTCCCCTTACCTAAACTTAAAAGTATAATACCTTGTCAATGAGTGGATGGAAATAAAAAATGTTAAAACCAAAACGTATTTAAAGTAATACTTTGTCTTAGAGATTTATGGATTTTTAAATATAGGCTCTCATTTGAAAAACCAAATTTGTATTGTCTCAGGATACTCCTTAAATTTTATGAAAAATCTAAGTATTCGAAAATATCAGTTTTAATTACAATTAAAAATTCAATAAACAGAATTTGAATTTATGCAAAATTTAATCAAAAAAAGTTTAATCTTCTGACTCTGTTTAAAAAAATATATTTTCTTAAATATTTATCAATATTAATTCTATAATATATATTATTCTATTTGCCATATTTATTACATTTATTTTGATTATTTAATTATTTAGGCATATTACATTATGTTGTGGACCACTTCATTTTTGGATCAAAGATAATTGTGGTAGGTACATTTATTCAAAAGAAACAGTTTTGAAACATGTTTGGTACAAAGTGTAGTTTTGTAATTTTATCTATTGTATATTATTATTACTTGTTCAATGTAATATTATAATATATTAACCTTTGGGAATTATAGGATCCTGCTGGACGGTACATCGTTCTGTATACATTTATAGCAAGAGATGAAAATGATGTTAGCGTTGAAAGAGGAGAATTTGTTACTGTATTGAATAGAGAAGACCCTGATTGGTATTGGATTATTCGTAGCGACGGACAAGAAGGTTTTGTTCCTAGCGGTTTTGTTTATCCAGCTGATATAATACAAGGTATAGAATATATCCAATAAATTTGTTTCATTATTAATGATAATTAAATTATTAATTAATAATAAATTAAAATAATAACATATATTATGATAAAATTAATCATTGTATAGTCAAAATAAATAATTATCAATTAATAAAATAATAAATTAAAACAAAATTATTAAAATGGTTAATAATCTTAAATAAATATATAAATAAAACAATTCATATATATATATATATATAAAATGTTTTATATATATTTACTATATTTAATTATTGATTGTTTTTTGTACAGGTCATATTAATCAAATGAATAATAATAATCAGTGTACTGGTGCTACTAATACTGGACTTCCTCCAGTAACAAGAGCTCGACCACGTCGGAATTCTTGTGTGGCTGATGATGATCCAGCTATTCATGGTACTGAAATGGTTATGTTGTATGATTACAAGGTATGTGCATATTCAATGTAATTAAAGGGTCAAATGCAACAACTGGCCTTGTCCACTTTTACTTAATGTTTGGTAGACAGAAAAATCTTTAAAATAAAGAAAAAGATAAAATTTCAGACAAATAATGTAATGTAGTTATTAATATTACAAAATATTTAAACATTTAAATGAACACAGTTTTGTTATTTAAGTTAGTCCTATTGCAATTTTTAATCAATAAATATTGTATTAAAAATATTAATTTAATTATTAAAATTACACTACATTACTACATAGCAGATTTATAACCTACTATAATTTTGAATCCACGTCAAAATGTTGTGGCAATAATTTCGTGATTAAAAATATCTGTATAAAAATTATTTAAAAATTAAAAATATAAATTTTTTATTTTGTATTATATTTAGTATAATTTATATACAGTGAGGTTAGATTAAAAATAATAATTTCTTACATTTCATACATTTGTAGTTGTCATTTATACTGTTTATGTACATAGTCAAATCAAATTAGTTATTAAAAAAGTATTATATTATTTATATTACAGTAGATTCTCGTTATATCGAATCTCAAGGGGAACAAAAAAAAGTTCGAGATAATGAATTTTATTAAAAAATACATAATTTTAATACTTAAAATACTGAAATAATTGAAATGAGTGAATAAATTATGTTTTATTTTAAAAAATCTGTCATTAAAGTTTGCTTAATATTACTTCTTTCTGCCACGACGTCTTCCAAATTAGATAATACAAAAAAGCCTTATCTTCTATACCTGTGATAGTCTCAACAAAATTCCTTAATGTTTTTAAAGCATGTTTGGCTTGTTGAATTGTAACTTCAAAAATGACTTCCTCCTCATTTTGTGGTTCGTTTTCACTCTCGCTGGTATTTCAGATGGTTTCTGATAAAATTTTGTTATCTGTCCATGTTCCACATACGTGTACATTATTGTCCATTTCCACATAATGTGAAAAACTCTGTCGTCAAAATTAAGATGATCAGCAACAAAATTCCATTTATAATCAGAAATGGTAGTTGAGTAATCTAATGCAATTATATCATCGTCTTTAAATCCGGTTTTTATGAAGCAATTTAATATAGTCTGTGGTGTTACACTTCTGATTATTTCTTTTCTATAAAACATTTTGAAATTCTGTATAACACCTTGGCTCATTGGCTGAAATATAAGATGTTGTATTAGCGGGTAAAAAATGTACTTTAATGGAACTTAATTCAATATCGTGATTATGAGCTATACAATTATCTATGAATAGTAGAACTTTTCGATTTTCTAGTTTCATTTTTCTATAAAAATTTAAAAGCCACTCACTAAATAATGACGAAGTCATCCAAGCCTTTTTATTTGACCCATAGTCAACTGGTAAAGATTTAATTCCTTTAAAACACCTAGGCTTCTTTGCTTTACCAATGACAAATAATTTTAGTTTTTCGGTTCCAGACATATTTGCTCCTACCATAATTGTAATGCTCTCTTTACTGTATTTTCCACCCGAACATTCTTTACCTTTTAATATTAATATTTTATCTGGTAAGCATTTGAAAAATGAGCCCGTTTCATCGACATTAAAAATATCATTAGAAGAATAACCTGCTAAGACGTCAGGAAGATTTTTAATCCAATTTGAACAACAATCTGTGTATACTGAAGCTTTTTCTCCACAAACAGTTCGAAAAACTACATCATGTCTTTTTTTTCAATTTGTAAGCCATCCACTGCTAGCTTTAAAATTAGTGTGTCCTAGTTGTTGTGCATATTCGTTTGCTTTTTCAAGTAAAATTGTTCCATTTAATAGTATATTTTTATCTCGACACTGAGTAAACTATTTTAGCAAACATTTATTAATGTGCAAATAAGGAGTCATCCTCATTTTTTTCATATTTCCACAATTGAACTTCATTATTTTCTCTTTCTGTTTAATAATTGACGATAATGTATTTGGTGGAATATTGAATTCATTAACGATTTCACATTTTTTACAGTCAACTTTTTCAACTAACTGTATTAAACGAACTTTGTCCGAAATTGAAAGAATATTTAATTTACGCTTCTTTTCCATTTCACTACAAAACGAACAAACGAACTACGAAAGATTACAAACGCGCTAAATCACAATCGCTATAATGAATGTACTGCACAATTCCTGTTTTAACCGTAATAAAAATATTATTTGTGAATTCGAGATAACGAAAAACGATTAATTTTATATCGAGTTCAAAACACTATTAAGTGTAATAGTAGTTTCAAGGGGAATCCAATGTATTTCGAGATAACGAAAAATTCGAGATAGCGACATTCGACATATTAAGAATCTACTATATTATAATTGGTACTGAAAATTGTGAGTTATTCCGCGTAGGTAGGTGTCAATCAATCTTTTTTCGTACTCATTAACATCGTTTGTTGTTAGTCTTATAGCAGAGTCCTTGTATTTTTTTTTTACCGGAGGTTTGACACCAGCAATATATTGTTCAACTTTTATAAAAATTATTTAAGCATTCCTTATATTAAAATTGTATAGCAAATTTGTTTCGTGTAGAGACATTTTTGCGCATGCAACGTTTTTCACTGCAACATTTTTTACCACGACATTTTGATGGAATACCAATAATTTTATATTATCAAATAAAAAATTGTCTATGATACAGAAGTACAATTATTTATGTCCTGATATCCTTTTTTTTCCTATTTCTAACAAAACCAGATATGTCTGATACAATGCTACCACTCTAAAATAAAAATTTAAAAAGACGTCTTAGGATAATGGGGACGGGTACAGCCACTGTTAAGGATAATTTAATGTATACCTGTAAGCAACTAAAAACGATTCTGAGCTGAGTTCAGTTGATAGTGATACTTTGTCAACAATATATATGTAATTTTGTAGTAAAATAATTAATAGGCTTATATATTTTTTTAATGTTGTACCTATTTTCCAGATTTTCCTACATTTTTCCCAGTTTTCTCCATATTTTCTTCTGGTTTTTCACATTTACTGGGAAAACTCCTGAGAAAATCGAAAAACGATCACTGTTTAGTACCTCGCTAGTGAAATTTCTTTTTAGAAACATTGCTATCGTTATAAATTAGAGCAAAATTGCTGGTAGAAAAGTTGTTCGCAAGAAAAAAAAAAGGCTATTGTATATTTTAACTAATACATACATTTCTTATATTTTTCATTTTTCCTCAGTTTTTTTCGGTTTTTTAAATTTGATAAGAAAAGTCCTGATAAAATTGAAAAATTACCTTCTTGAAGTACATCCCCACACTGATTTCCTTTCAGAAAAGGTGCTACACTTAGAATTTAAGTAACTCTTTAAGTAAAAAAGTTCAAATATAAAAAAAAAAAAAATAAACATCTTTGTAAAACTATAAGCTTCTTTGCTCCATTCATAATCTAAAATATAATATTTATGTAGACTTATAGACAATTTTCTCCTGCATATTTAACCCCTGAAAAAGTGATTTTATTCAAAAACTGGGCATAGCCAATAGTTATAGTTGACCCTTCAATTATGATTTTGGACATTGATTATATGCTATTATAGAGTTTATTATTTATTTGGTAATTTTATATAGCCTCAAGCACCAGATGATCTATCAGTCAAACGAGGTGAATGGATTTATGCCGATCTAGACAATCAAATGGTTGAAGGATGGTTATGGACATATGCACCAAAAACAAGAAAATATGGTTTTATACCTAAAGCATATGCTCATCCGCCTGCCATGACCAGTTTATGATTTTAGGAATTAATTATTAAATTGATGATAATTTGTGATCATTAATATCAAAAAGTATTATTTTATGTGTTCAGTATGAACTTTAATTCTTAAGTCAATTTGGAACTCTAACCCAATAACTTTTAAACTAAATTTAACTCCTATATCTCTCCTATCCTTTATTCTTCTTATAACTTCTTTTGATGATCTTTCAAAACCAATAATTGTGATATTTAATAACTTAATGGGATTGGTGATAAAATTATATAGGGTATTATTTAATGATTACATTTTTAAAAATGCAATTACATAAAATGTGTGACAACATTGACTTATTACTCTGTATATCTGTATATACAAAGTGATCAAAATAATATTAGATGCTCATTATCTCGTCAAGTATCATTTTTTTTTGTAATTTGTAGACAATTTTTCAGAAAATTCAAGAAATAAATAGTTAAAAAATTCGATACATTTTAATTTTTACATTTTTAATTTCCGTCAACAGATTGACGGTAAGTTTAAAATAAGATTTTTTATATGAGTTGTTATGTGCAACAGTAAATCAAAAAATAAATAAATAGGTAATTTATTTATCATAATTAAAATAACATAAATTTTGATAATTTTTGTTGATGCCATTAACTTTTCTTTGATAATTGTATACAATTTTTTTTTTTTTAACTTTTTGAATATGCTATTAGGCGTGTTTTGGCTATTTCATTAATACTGTTGACCGACATCTTTTAAATATGTCTGATAAAGAATACAACCAGGTAATCACCTAAACATACCTATTGTAGGCATGATCGAAGGGCAGCTATTTCATTCCATATTCACAAGCAAAAATATTAATTTTTAAAAAATTTTAAAACAAAAAAGGAAAGCGTAAAACATTTTATTATTTATATATACATATATATCTCTAAAAAAATCCCATGAAGAAAAAACTTATTAATGTTAATGATAAAATGTTCTCAACACAATACATTTTAGATATTTTTTAACATAAAGAAATATTTTATTAAAATAACAGCTTATATTAGTATGAAACTAAAGTGACTTATTTATTGATACTAATGGTCAATTTTATTATTGTGTAATCGTACATCACGCCATAAAATTTAAGAAAATTCTGTTTTGAACATAATCCATGCTCAATATGCCAATTATACAGCAGTTATCTGTTATTTTTTATAAGTAAAATTGCAGTAAACGATAATTTCACTCATCTAGAAATAACTACTCTTATTCAATAAAGTCATAGTAATTTTGAATATATTTGTGTTTTCCTTGATTTTATAGAAAAATGTGTTATAACATAACATTATTTATTTGGTTAAATATTAATTTAAATAGAACCATTTAGAATCAAAAATGAACATATTATACAATAATTTACTATATTTGCTTTTTGTAAGACAAAATTCCTTTTTTTTTTTTTTCAAAAATGTAAATAATATTTAAATACTAATAATCAATTACTAATATTTAATCATCCAGTTTTAGATACGTACTGATTTCTTCACATTTTTACAATATTCTAAGTGTTTTTAAAAATTTTTGTTAAATTATGCCTTTCATAAGTATTGTTAGTTTTAAGTTTATTCTATGTTACATATTTTATTACAAAACCAAGTTAAATATGATTAAGAATTTTGTATTAATTTGTCGGGTCGTACCTACGGTGCTTAGAGAATGTATTAATACTACTCTGGTTAAGAGTTTTTTTAAAAAACAATTAATGATTGCTTGAAGTAAAAGTATATAAATAAATACATTTGTCTGTGATGATTATTGTCCACAACTAAATAGAAAAATGTTACAGAATAAAAAACCATTCATATTTTTATATTTGATTCTGTCCATTTTGAAAAGTTGTGCCATACTGCCATTATATACTTTTATAAGACTGTCTTGTTCTAAATTATTTTTGTATTCATATAGAATAAATTTTTTATATAAGTATTTATTCAATATTTAAGAATTACCTAATTTGTCTGTATTGTAGTAACATTAATGTGTCCATGTACATTCAATTCAGTAACATTTTCATACTCATAATTGTGTAATAAGTACATGCACTTATTTTTAATTGACAAAAAGTATATTAAGAACATTATCATTATGATCTAAATTAGCAACTGTAAGTAGTATAATATTATTATTGTAACTGTTTGTAATATTATAAATGGTTTAGTGATCTAAATAATTAGCCACCATTACAATTATAGTAAAAAACTTACTGCAGTTATCATTTACATTGTATGCTCTTCTCAGTATATAAGTATTCCATATTTTAGTGTTCTTTGTAGTATTTAGATTTTTTTTTATGCATAATGAAAAAATAAACTAGATTTTTTTTTTGATTTCATTGAAATGGGTTTTTTATCGAACATTTGTATTCTTTTAATCACCATCAAACATACAATTGGCATTGGTGAACAACAATGTTTATCTTCGAACAGTAGTAATCAAAATAAAATGTGTCGGGATTTTGAAACAATGTCCGTATTAGTGGCCGACTTGGTGGGACGGTCTGTTAAAAGTGACGGAGATGACAAGAATCCCGCTGTCTCTCCGTTTAACATATCAATAAAGACGTTGATTCGGGCGTCATCCGCTGTTGTTGGACGCAATGTTAACGCTTTGAAAACAGTCGTAGTCAATGGGTTGGTACTTCTGACACAAACTGTAAGTATGAAATGGTAGAAAATTAAAGTAGGTATTTACTCAAACTAGAATATTATTTTCACAGATCGTAACAATGATGACCGACCGCCAAGAAACCAATGAGTATGTTTCCGGAGGCCGACCCATAGATTGGATCTCGAACAATCCGTATGTAAGTATAATTACATATTTCGCTATTTACACTGGAAGATTTGAAGAACTTCAAACCCTTTAGCTCGTTTGATTTCTGTAATAATTTGTCAGTTTAATAGGCTTGAATATAAAAAAGACGTTCTAGGAAAATGGAGACGGATGTAACTACTGTTAATGTATACCTGTAAGCAACGATAAACCATTACTAACGAAAAAATGATTCTGAATGGAGTTCAGTTGATAGTGATGCTTAGTCAAATAACAAAAATGCTTTAACAAAAATATTAACAATTTTTTTAAAATAGCTCAAATGTTTTAAACATTTGGCCACATCTAGAAAAGGCAAATATGAGCATTTTGTACAAATTTCAAGTCTACGAATATTTTTAACTGAATTACAACAAATAACAAAATTGATAAAATAATAAAGGCATTAATTTTGTACATTTCCCGTTTTTCTTACGTTTTATCCTGGTTTTACACAGATATTATGAAAACCGCTTGGAAAATCAAAAATTGGCCTGCTAAAAGTACCATCTGGACAACATTCCCTTTCAGAAATGGTACTGCGCGTATATATCTGAGCAAGATTTATGGTCGAATTTTCGTACATAAGATAAAAAAAAAAATAAACATCTTAATAAAACCAATTCATTTTTCGCTACACTCATAATCTAAAAATTCATATTCATTGATTTATTATTATTATGCTGTAGGGTGAATTATAGTTGGATAAATGAAGGTGGACATAGAATGTAAAATACTACCTTAAATACTTTAAAGAGGTCATTTTTAAATGATGCGATTGTTGTAGATGGAAAGTTAGGAAGGTAGGATACATAGAATTATTTAATGTGTATACCAATTGTACCAGATACCCACTTATGTAGGTAAGCAACGATAAATCATTGTTAACAAAAAACAATTTAGAGGAAAGCTAATAACACACAAAACAAGAATATTTTGAAAATTGTTCGATCGTCTATAACGTGTTCATTTAAATATCTAGTGAAAATTGGAATTTAAAATTATTTCTAATTGAATTACAACAAAAACAAAATATCGAAAACTATATAGGAAGTCATACAATGATCTCTGTACTCAAGTGGCGTATCCAAAGGGGACTGAGAGGCTGCAGTCATCCTGAAGTTTCGGGAAGTTTTTTTTTGAAATATTTAATTTTCGTTATGTGGTAATGTTGTAATATGTAACTGATTAGTCGCCCTCCACTAAAAAAATTTCTGAATATGCCTCTGTACCAACTACATAAAATTTTCTACCGGAAACCACCCTTAAACTTTGAAAATGATTAGCTGTGCGAAAAGATGTTACGAACAATAAAAATCACACGTACTCAATAATACAAACCATTTTATTTCTCGCCATAATTAGAATCTAAAATAAATACCAGACTCGGCTAGTACTTACTAGTCAATTTGACCCCCTATTTTCGCCCTGATAACCGTTATTTACTTGTTCGAAGAACGGAACTAAAGTTCAAGATTTAGACACGGCCGTTTATAATTTTGTATTATCTTTGTTTACTTTTTATACAGATCAAATCACTGACCGGTGAGGCGATTGATGACACATTGGCCGATCGACTCGAAACGTCCGCAGCCGGCTTGCCCTGCGTACAATTACTCGTGTGCCGGTTGTCGCCTGTGGTGCAGTACATGCAGCGACTGGTCAAAAGCGGTCGACTAAAGGCCTCTTGGACGGCGTCTGATTGGCGACGTCTTGGCGGCGGTGGCTGCGTCAAGAGGTTTGTCGACTGTGCGAAAACGGTCGAATGTGAGCCAGCCGCTGGTTCCACATAAAATAACCATCCAGGTTCCAACAGATTGCCGTCGTAATAAAACATTTGCGACTACGACAATGATACGATACAAATATTTTTTCATTAAGTGTGTCAATAGTGTCGCACGTGTGTTATTATTGTGTTTATTATTTATGTATAAATAGTTATGTATGAGCTACGTATATGGTATATGTGAGGCACACCATATGCACCTATGTACAGAGACGAGAACACATTTTTGGTCTTTATTTTGTATATAGAACGTGGCAAAAGTATTTATTCAACACTTCGCATTTTTATGAAAAAAAATATATAGGTAAATACGATGATGGTAAGCTACGGTCGGTCGAATCTTTTCTGTGCAGTGTGATAATAGTCTGCTTAAGATAGCCCTTAGTTAAAGATTTAAAAAAAACATTAATATTTTTAATTTCTCACCCCCTTATTTTGTTCATTAGTATAAGAAAGTAATTTTGGTTAAATTTAATCATGATTACTCACCCCCTTCTTAAAAGCCCTAATTAAAAGTGTTTAGTACAAATAGAGAGAATAAATGTCAATGGTTTGTAGCAAACTGTCAAACATATTATTGAGTTAATGATTCTCTACTGTTTTTGTATAGTATCATTATCGATATAATATTGTTGTCTAATCTAAAATATAAAATATTTGCTATTTACCGATTCCAATACAATACTCTAACGTTTACCTACACTTTAATTATATCAGATATAAAGTCAATTAGTTACAAAATTATATTATTATCTATATTCCATTCGTATGCATTGTATTATTCTCTCAAAAACGTGTATTATAAATTAAACGTTGATATAATTATAGATAGGTGAAATTTTAGGTACTTTTAATCTTCTTATTTTAACCCAACTGTGACAATAAAACAGTAAATCCAATGAAATTTATACTTATTAGCTTTTATTTAGAAAATACAATTTTTTATCATTTTTATACTGGATATTTTGTTTTATCATCAACTGTTATTCTGATAAATTTAAATAACCGTAAAAAATCAATTTTGTAAAATAAATAAAATATTTAGTATTGCATCATTTTTCGTAGAAAACAATAGATTCATAAGATTTTTTTATAACTATGTTTATTATTAAGAATATAAATATTTATAATTTAAGTTGTATACATGTTTACGATAAGTGCAATAGTGTTGCACTTTTTTCCCCCTTTTATGGAAATAGGGAAAAAACAAATGAATCTTAAGGTAGAGACGTAGCTATCACTCGCTCGGACGATTATAATCGAAAAATACCCCTCGATTTATTGTGCAAACTTTTCTACCAGTGATTTTTCTCCCGTGTATCAAGTGTAGCTCATATTCCGAAAGAAAATTTTATCTCCGTGGTTTAGGGAGATCATTTTTGTGATTTTTCAATCGGTTTTCATAATAATTGGGAAAAACCGGGATAAAATGTTGGAAAAATGGAAAATGTATTAAATGTAGTAATTAGTAAAAAAATATTATGACCTTTTTTTTCTGTGTATAACTTTTCTACCAGCAATTTTGGTCCAAAATATAATGATAGCACTTTTTATAAAAGGAAATCTAACTGGGAAGATACTTTAAGGTCATTTTTCGATTCTCCTAAGAGTTTTTCTAGCAAATGTGAAAAACTGGGAAAACCAGGAAAAACGAAAAAATCGATACAATATTAATCAAATATTATTACAGAAAATATATAATGCCTATTTAATTATTTTACTATAGTATATATATATCATATATGGTTGACAAATCATCACTATCCACTGTTCTGCGTTCAGAATCGTTTTTTTTTTTTTTTGTTAGTTATGGTTTTTCGTTGTTTACAGATTTATATATATATATTAAATTACCTATAACAGTAGCTGCATTCATTTCCATTATCCTAAGCCGTATTATTTAAATTTTTTTTTTTGGTATTTTAAACATAATATTCACAGATGAACGAGGTCGTATTAAACTGCATGTTATATTTTTTATATAATATTATGTTATTGAGAGCTACGATACAAAATGGTTTTTTTTTTTTTAGTTCGTATATGAAGATTAATCATATACGATAGTATGTGCTCTATATATTTCTGAATAATATTATAAAAAACGTATTTAATACTACAATATCATAGTTATAAAAACCAACCATCATTACGCGTGGTAAATATACAATTACTATACACGTACATTTTCCTATAATAATGCATATCCTGAATATTTTCTTTTATAATATTAATATTTATACGTACCAATACTTATGGACATTTTCATTTTCAAACGTCCCAATCGCACAATTTTTTTATATTATCAAATTGATTTACACTCAATGATGCAGTCGCGAATCGTAGTAAAGGTATATTTTATCGAAACTTGTCCCACTGTACTTGTATGAATCTAATTTCATATTATGTTCATTTTCAAGGGCTTTAATAACATATATTAGAGAATTATACAGGTATTTATGTTATGTTTAACGCGACGATTTGTCCATCTTTAAATCGATACATTGAGGCTAGAGATAGTATAGTCAAATTTACTACTGATCCATTTCTATACCTTCGAAATTTTACAAAATTACACCTGTGAGTACTTATAATACATAGATAAACTGAAATATTTTTAAACAGGAGTATAGTAAAATGATTTGCAATCGCAAATGTCTGCCAGGCCGTCACGCATCGTGCCCACCTGATGATCATCAAGCTGCAGATCGCAGTTGCTTGATAATAATTATTGTTTCACTCGAAAAACGATTGTAATTGGAATATTTACATTTAAAGAGATGGCTTACATTTCTCCTATAGCCGTATTGTAATAAATTTCAGAGCCATCGCTGTGTTGTCCCATCGACCAGAAAATTTGAAAAATGACCTCTTTAAAGTATTTAAGGTAGTATCTTACACTCTATGTCCGTCTTCATTTATCCAACTATAATTTACCCAACAGCATAATAATAAATCAATGAATACGAAATTCTTAACAAATGTGATAATCCGGTAAAAAACAGAAAAAATCGATACAATATTAAACAAATATTAAAGAAAATATATAATACCTATTTAATTATTCTACTATAATATGGCATATATATAGTTGACAAAGCAACATTATCAACCAAATTCCGTTCAGAACCGTTTTTTCGTTAGCAATGGTTAATCATTGCTTACAGATATACATTAAACTTCCTAAAGCAGTAGCTGCACCCGTCCTCATTATCCTAGGACAGCTTTTGAATTTTGTAAAACATAAGTTAGATTACATTATGTAAGTAAAAAAAAATTATTTTTTCTGTACAGTGAAAGTTGGACAATTTAAATTGAATTAATGCATGATCAATGGGAAAATATTTGTTTATGTTAAATATATAGGTCATATCAATGTACCCCCCAGAAAAATTCCTCAAACCACCACTGGGTAGTGGGGAGGGGGAGTTTTACATAAGACGAACAAGAAAAGAAATCAAAATTGGTACTAATCTGCGAATTTGTATTAATGTATTATATTAATAAGTAATAATCACAGTTAACAATATAAAAATTGCTGCACCCGTCTTCATTATCCTCGGACGTCTTTTTTTTAAATTTATTTTCAACAAAATATTTCGACTTGCAACGTTAAAAAACAAAGTTTTGTTTATACATCATAATATTAGGCCTTTAAATTTTCATGAAACTTATATTTTTGAAATAATTAATTTAAATCATCCATAGTCAACTAAAACGTCAACAAATAATTTAATAATTTATTCAGCTTTCATTTTTGACATTATAGATATTTGTTTTTTACAAGGACAATTAAAATAATAATATAATGTTTAAAGTGAATCCAATACTAAAATATTAGGCAGTATTGTGACTTTAAAAAATCGTTTAAAGCCGAACTAATATAAATCAATCTTAAGACAAAAAAAAACAATGTATTTTTCAAAATTTCAAGCAATGTAAAATTTCACGTTTGAAATATTTCATACTAAAAACTTAACACAATATATAATACATACACTCTTTAAAAATGATTTATATGTAAGTCAAGTTTGGAATTGGAAAAAATAATGTATAAAAGGGGATTCTGCGGCTTACTTGTACAAAAATTTTAAAAAAAAATAGCAACTTTTTTATATTTATTAAATACATAGTTTCAATTGAAAAAAATTAAATAACTTTTATTGAATACCGTGAAATATTGTAACAAAACGCAACAGGTATATTTCTTTATGTTCCTATATAATGATAGTCTATATAGCGTTGTTTTTGAAGTGGTATACCTACATCACAAAGCGAAACTCATTCTATAGTATAGGTAGGTAATAAATAAGCAATAATTGTTTTTTTTTTCACGATATCAATGTAATGATTTTCAATTTTCACATTTCACTCATTCGTGTAAACTACAATGTATAATATTAAATTTAATTTTAAAACATACATAATATACGTGCTATACACTTCACTTATCCGTGGTATACAAGCACCGTAAATAAATCGATACCACGGTGATTATAATAACATTATGGTGATGATAAACCGATCGTTTTACGTGTATACTTATATAGGACGCAGGTATACAGAATTGTTGTTACTTGTTATACTATATACTTAGAAAACAGTAAAATAAAATGATATAATTGCGTTAAGCGGTATATTTAGTTGTTCGTTTGTGACCGAAATAAATTTACCCGTTTTGCATTTGTGGTACAAATACAAAATATGTAGGTACATGAGAACGTTAAATATTTGCCACACTGTATCTAATAAAATAATATGATATATATATATATATATATATATTTTAAATAAACGCGCGTACAGAAATATAAAACCGTGTAACGCGTATAATAATATAGTCTAATTGCGAATAATATTATAATATGTCAAATAGGTACCATATTTATTTTGTATATTTTAAAACGCGTATACTTTTTACTTTCCACGTTAAAAAAAAACTGGAATTAAGAGATCGTCACAATAGATATCTTTTGCCGTCTCTGTCCGTCAGACGGTCGATATAGCAAAAATGTGTTCACATTAAATAAGCGAAAAGCCTTTGAAATCGGTTTTAAAGAAGTAAAATTCTTGTTAAGGAAATGTGTAAACGACATTTTTTTTGAAGATGACCTCTTGTCGTCGTTTTACGAAATATTAATTATTTAAAAAAAGTTTTTAATACGATTTTTGGTACCTTTGACAATGATATGTTGAATATTTTAGAAAATTTCAAAATTCGTCTACTATAGGTTATTGCCTTAAAGCGTTGTCGTCCATACATTTTATATAATAGATATTTGTATGAAGGGCTAAACGAATTTATAACGTAATAATCTGGAATATAAAAATCCGAACCCAATTTCCCAGGCCGTGAAAATCCGAAATGTAATATTCTGGAAAAATATCAGTGGTTTATAGAAAAATGTTATCACAAACTTTTATAACACAGAAGAAGAAGGGGCCGATGGAAAATTCAGGAAGTAGGCAAAATAGTCAGGGAAAACAAACGTTTTGGATCTAAATGATCGGACGAAGAGAAAAGGCCGGTGGAATAAAATCTGCTATTGACAAAATCATCATTGGATATCATTGAAAAGACTGAAGTCTAGAGGTCACCTAATTGTTTAGGTCACCAATTCCAACAACATTTTTTATTTTTAGTAATTTTATACTTATATGTAAACTTAAAATAAAATAAAAAAGCTATCTATTTTCAATTGTACTTGAGAACCTACTAATTTAATTTTTTTATTAGCCTGCAATTAAAATCCATATTCAATTAATATATATATATAATTAAAATTAAATACATAATTGTGTATTTACCCTGTACCTGTAACTTTTGGAATATACAATGAAAAAAATACAATTTAAATATATAATAAAAGAACTATAATAAAAACATACAATAACCTAAAAACCGATAAGAATGTTAATAAAAGTAATTCAATTATATCAAAACAATAAAAACTATACCGAATA